TTATCTCAAACTTAAATATTTCTAACACATACAAATTAGTCTAAAAGGGGCTTGCACTTAATTGCACACTAAATTAATATTAAAAATCGCCAATTATTAATTCTTAATAACTTGTGTTATTGAACCCTAAATGGTATCATGAATATGTAAAATGAAAATGTTTCAAATTGCCAGTCATCGAATTGCTTTTACAACAGAAGGTAATCGCTTCAACACACAGCGACATTGTGAGTATTAAATACACCTATTTCGTATTATTATGTTTCATATTTAGAATATAAGGCGTCTTACACAAAATGCTTTTATTAATTTGCGCTGTGACTCATTGACGCTTGAGAAAATATTAAAGCGAGGCATTACTTTGGACTATCTTAGCTATATTTTATAAATCTCATCGTCTAATTTTTTTTACAAGTTAAAGTAAAATTTGACGATATGATTCTTAGCTTCTTGTCTATTAGGTACATAGAAAATTACTATGTTTGGTAAAATGTAATGTCTTTTATTATCAAACATAATTGAGGCAGTTGTTTCAAATCGTTATTATTTGGTCTACCATTTATTTTATATATATTTTTAAAATGTCACTCTGAATATTTATTTGAAATATAATTTCCGGTAGTTGTAAATAAAATTGCTGGTTTGTCATTTGTTATATTATAATATTCATGCAGTCAAGTTAATTATTAATTAAGCATACGTATTTTCTAATAAATTATAACATTAATAAATTATGTTTTATTAATCGTAAAACAAAGATACAACTCTCTAATTGTTCAAAATGGTAACAAATAAAAACTAAAATTTTAATGCATTACTGCTTATTTCAATCCAATTGAAAATTAAATAAAATAAACAAATGTTTCATAAACATATTACGTTACAGTATTACAAAAACCCATTAAACCGCTGATCTAAATGAAATTTGACCCCCATATGCTCATGGAATTGCTCATTTAACCAACCTATTAAATATATTTGTTTAATTGTTATAGGTGGCCAGATATAGATATATATTAATCGTGTCTTCCAGTTTCTTTAACGTATAAGTCAAGCATTGTTTTGTTTTTGTTTAAGTCGTCCTTCCAATAATACAATTACGTCGTCCTTCCAATATTACATAAAATTGAGACTTAACGCATTATAGCTTTACATAATAATTAAATGTGGGTCATTTTCTGACACCGATCGGACTTCTTTAGGAAAACATACATACAACAAGGAATACTCAGAGCGTAGCCTATTTTCTATATAGATCGGTAGAATAATTTCTGTTTCAAAAATAATAAATTGATTTGTAACTGACGGATTAATATGACTGAATTGAATAGTAATATGAGAGAATTTTTCCAACAGAGAATTAGCAAAAAACTCGTCGAAAAACACCTTTCTAAAAATGTTTCACGTTTCTCGTGCATTTGCCAAACTGTACCTATTTCTTATTTTACGAAATTCGTACTAACAATTCATTAGGTTTTACATGTGTAAGCACGACATGTTGTCAACAAAATAGAAGCCACGACTCACAACCACGTATTGATTTTTTATTGATTTTGATATATACGTCGATTTTCCCTTATCTTTCAGAGTTCGAAAAGTTTATAATTGTTTTAGTAGTCCAAAGGATCCCTTCTTCTTCACCTCACACCTCTATATATATACATATATTTTATTGATTAAGAAGAGTGGCGGAGAGTTTATTGCCAGTTCTTCTCTTCCGTTCTACGCCCTTGATTTGAGAACTGGCAGTAATGTGAAATTTAAGCATTTAATGTATATTTTTCATGACGTTCATAAGTGTACATTGTGTTACCTATATGAATAAATGACTTTTGACTTTTGACTTGACTATTTGAGAGTGTAGGCCGAGTGGCTTCAGTGGACTCTCATCCTTGAGGTCGTAGGATCTATCCCTGGCTGTGCATCAACTGACTTTCTTTCTATGTGCGCATTTGACATTCGCTCCTTTAAAACCGGCATGCCTTAGACCGAAAACGTCGACGGCGCGGGCGTGTCAGGCACAGGAGGCTGCTCACCTACTTAGATTAACAAATGATCATGAAACAGATACAGAAATCTAATGCCCAGACCTAAAAAGGTAGTAGCGCTACTGATATATATTTATAGTATACTTAAAACCACCAATACCCATTTGCAAGTATACAGTACTGTAAAGATAATTACTACTACTACTTTTCAAAATAGTTATGTAAGAACTAACAATGTCATTCAGTCATTGAATATAATTCTGGACTATGGATTATCAAAGAACAGTAATTTCATTAGCAATTAACATACAATACTTTATTATTCATTGACCTTTGAATTATCATAATTTTAAAATCCCTCTTATTAGTTTAGTATAACCTTCCTTTACAAATAAAACTATATATATGGCTAATTTCGAAGTGTTTAAATTATCGAGATACAAACTACTGGAAATGATAAAATGCTTGCTACCGGAACTCGATTATGAAGCTACAGAAAAAATATTACTTGTGGCGGTTTGAGGCGATACAGTCTATGAAAAAGGGTGCCATTTTCACATGCTTATTCACGCAAACTCAAATTTATCAAAATTGTAGATTTTATTTGTTCTTTTTTTACTAGATGTAATAAGATTTTTTTTGTTCTTTTCTGTCTGCTGTTCTCCCACAACACATGAATGTCCTAGTGTTGGTACCACCGTGTCTATAAAATAATAAACAATAGAATAAGGTTTAATTAATAAAGCTATATTCAGCTTGTCTTTTAACTTAAGTTTCATAGGTATTGCGTAACCTGTAGTGTTTTTTTCGTGGCAAACAAAAAATTTTAAAATTATTCGTTATTATATAATTATTTAAAGTTTGTCGACATTTTATTTTTGTACATTCTTAAAAAAAATATTTTATTCCAATGACTACAGTCAATCGCAAAGGCGAGTTAAATTATGAATTATATTACTTAATTAACTTTTTGCCTGTGGATAATCTAAATCTGATAGTCACAAAGTAGCATTAATATATATATTTAATATTCTCCAGCAGTATTTTGTACACAAATACAATCTCACTCTGTAGTCCATCTTAGTTCCAAGCAATTGCCTGCCAGTCAGGGTAACCAACTAGTCATACATCTCACACGTACCTATTTTTTTTCCCGATATTAAATTCAATTAAACTCAGTCAGCATATTTTATAATGTAAAAAACGTATTGAATTGATACTTAGAATTACGCATTACTTGTAGACATACTCGTTTGTACCTGGGTTGGAAATAGTATAAATATCGACACCGAATGTAATTACTATCCTTAGAAAGGAATTTGTTATTAGATCTATCAATTATAGTAAAATATAGTTGTTCAAGTAAGACAATTGCAACAAATAGAGACTTATTGCAGATGAAATGAAATTGCTATCGTATATTTCTTGAAATAAAAAAATGTGAAAGTATCCTTCTGCCTAATTTATCTCGATCCGTGCGGTTTCAGGCTGTATATTCGTGCTAAATAAATGAACTTATTAAAATAATTGTACTGATAATTGTATTAAATCACCTTGGAATCTCAATGAAGATGTGTAAATTGAGAGCAATGTTAGCGCAGCATTGTTTTCTATACCGATCACTTTAACTCGACTGTAATAAATTTTCGATATCGAACGAAACACCCCCAAGGTTGCATTATAATAACCTATTGCTATATTAGAACTAAATATTACAACTAGTGAAATACTTTGCTTTGAATAAGATTGGTAAATGAATACTACAATATTCAATATCGAGGCTTCAACCCTTGTCAGGCAATGTTACAATCTGTCCGCACAAATTACAATGAGCGTAAGTGCAAAACATTTATTACTACTATTTACTATGTACATATCTCTAAATTATAATCAATTCTTGCAAAGCGTCGATATATATATTAATTTAAATGTGATATGTTATTTACTTTACTTTACAGTAGTTTCTTGTCGTAGTCAACGAGAGTTTATTGTTAGTTCGGTAAAATGTGCTAAATTTCCTTTAAATAGTTTGAATCAAATTTATAGTACGCACGTAAAATACTAAATATACGATAATCCTCATAATAAACTTATAATTTGCAATTTTGTTTTGCTTATTTTTAATATTAATCATATAATTTACCTATTGGTTATTTATTCAATTGGATAAAGCGACTCTCAATATAGCTTATATTTAGTAAAGTAACCATAATAAATCAGCACAGCATGGTTATTAATTACAACTATCTGTCTGTCCCACGGGTATGTTTCAACGCATATTGTAAATTCTTGTGTTCAAATTACGATTTATATAAACCCCTTTGACACATTTCATGAATACACTTTGACAGTATTAAATCAAGTTATTGAATGTAAAGCACGTAACGTCGTGACAGTTTCACTCATTAATTAAGTGTAGTTGCTTTTGAATCGGTATAGGTAGATTCAGAATGGCCTTATTACTCTGAGAATACAAGTGCAATATCATTGTTCAGTTGGAACAAAATCTAGAGTAAATGTAGACGTACGATGTCGTGAGTTGTGACTTAAGTGATTCTTGTTACTTGAATGATAATATTGACACTTTCAGATGACTGTTAATTTAGTAAGTACTTAATAGATATTTTGTTAACCCTTGAAACACTTTAATACGAATATTTTTTTCTAAAATAACTATTCGGAGGAAAATGTAGGTTCACTTAATTACTTCATATTTGAATTACATAAATTCAGAGCAATATTTTGCAATTTTAAACATTATTTTTGAATTATCGAATGCATCAATATTAGTTTTCGTTTAAAAATTGTAGAGCGATGTCTGTAGAGTTCATGTTAATTACCCAATGTGTTGTTGTTATTACCCAAAGTAAGAAACCCCGTTATAGTTTATACTATTAACATAGTAATAGATTTATTATTATAACATAGTTAATTAAGTTTCATACGTTATCCGCTAGAATTAATAATATTTTTCTAACGGTTTTAATAATTTCTAACATTTTTTTGACAGCTATGGCGGCAACCATGACGGAAACGAAGCAACACACAGATTTTAGCAAATTGAGTAAAACTCGGGAGTCTGACTGGCCTGCAGTACTTTTCTTCATACATATTCACTTTCTGTCAATATATGCCGTATGGCTCGTTTTCACAGAAGCCAAATTACTTACTATATTATTCCGTAAGTACAAGTACAAGTTTTAAGGTAAAATGCAGAGTCAAAACTTAGCGCGAACCATGACTCCCGTAAGTCATCCATAACGTTTTTAACATACCTGCAGAAGTATATCGCGCTAAGTCTGGACTTCGAATTTTATATTTAGGTTATACTTAGCTAATATAATATAAAATATAATTCAGTGTTGCCACAACCCTTTATGGATCCTGCTCTCAGATTTCTGCGGTCTTTTGGCTTTTTTTGTCACTAAGCCTAAATGTTGGTTCTCTATCTACTAATTATATTTTGCTATATGGATTGTGTAACTGCATAGTGTTCGTATAATCTATTTTCCTAACATTCTAAGCCCACTGTCGTTCGCTTCGTTACCAGAGAAATCTTATTAATAGGCAATTAAATTAAACTCTTCCCACGAATATTCTGGTCGACATCGCAATTCTTAATGATGAATGAATCAAAGATTCAGTACGAGCCACGAATAATTATGTGGTACACCCTTTAAAACATAAATAATACAAAATTTCCCTAAAACAGGAAACATAGCATAACATTTGTTATATACAGTGTAAACTCTTTATAACGTATATCTAGGTACAGCGCATTTTTCGTCATAGAGAGTGAATAGAAAAAAACGCAAATTTAACCAATTACAATAATTTCTAATTTTATTACTATTAATAGATATATTATTCTAAACACATAACGCTTCTTTTACTGGCCATCTTGACAATTCCAAATTATGTTTACGACTGATAATACACGATAGGTGACGGTGGTGCGTTAGGTAACTGAGACCAACATTTCCTACAGGCAATGTTATCTAAGAATAATGGCACACGTGTCAATGCAATTTACAATAACAATGGCGAGACGGCTGTTTATGACATCAGGTGTATTTCTTAGAAATTTCGGCACCTCTAAAGCTGATTATAAAAACAATTACACAAGTATGTTGTTGATGTTTTAATATGAAAATATTTCTTTATTATATTATAAAGTTATGGAGAATGGCTGTTGCGTTATAAAGAGAGAATTAACGAATGTGTTTTGTATGTATTTTTACGTTATCGAGAGAATGAGAGACGTTATAAAGAATTTACGCTTTATATGTTTTATGCCTATAAGTGCTTGTCAGTGGGCAGAGCGTTCGCAAGCTTTTGAAAATTAAAAAAAAACCCTAATTATTTCTGAGACCTTCCCAGTCTGATGGCAAATACTGATAACTTCCACACACAGTTTTCTTTTTATATCAGGCTTAGTAAGTGGATCCCGCCTAAAACGAAGATTTGGAAGGTAAACCAAAGAGATAAAATCATTCATTCATTCATCAGTCATTTAAGATGGATTAGACTTTTAGAATTATTGTTTTCCTTTGTTTGCTTAGCTTAGATAAATACAGCTAATAAAATTTCTTTCAGTTCTCGTCCTTACATTATTTGCCACACTAGGAGCCACTGTTGGAGCACATAGACTATGGGCACACAACACATATAAAGCAAGCTCTGAACTCAGAATATTCCTTATGCTGTGTCAAACTTTAGTTGGACAGGTAATTCCGCAATGCATGTTTTACCTACCTCCAAAACGAAGGTCTAGTTTTAAAATGTGCAGATTTATGAAGAACTGTTGCTCGACCTTTGGCTAAGATCGAGATTAGCAGTCCCAGTCGAGATTTAACGCGAATAAATTATTAGAAACATAAAATTATATTAGTGTAAAATCGAGATAAAAGTGGCGGGAACTTTCCAAACTTTGAAAATTTTAATTCAATTATCGGACGCATGAGTTATACTTAATTAAATCTTATATCACAAATTCAGAATATTATTAAATGTCAAATACGACATGAAAGAATTGCGTATTAGTCCCTTTGGGTGCTTTAGTTTAAATGTAAACACTGGAACATTTCCAACATATATTCTAAGAATTTACCGAAATTATTTAATAAACTAATCGCTTTACGTGCGATAGTATCAACTTAATTATCAGCATCTAATTCAAATGGACTACACTAAACAACGAAGGTTATAGACAAAATGGTATATTTAATTTTGAGCATATAAACTATAAGTAAAATAAATAAGATTTCTTTTACCATGTCCATGTGCCATGTCCACAATTATGCCGATTTAGATTTTAATTGTATATTGCTTTATTTTGGCGATCAGAATAACTAATACGAAATATCACGGTGAAAAAAAATTAAGGTCAAAATTTCTAACAAACTGGTTTACCTGAAACGCCTTCCGCATTAGTAATGAGGATGTTAGTTATGGATTTTATAAAAGATTTTTAGCTTATTTATTTTATAATTTGTATGTTATATTGTTTCATACAAACGATGATTCGATTGATATTTATAAAGGTTGAAAACTTTCATCATAATTCAGAATTCCAAGAACGAAATCCATATATGTATATGAAATAATTTGTGGAAAGGGGCAAACACATTTCCGTGTTTATTTCATTCTTAAATGTCACATGTTCAATGTTCATGACGTTTTATACCCCATGTCCTTTATTAAAAATACCTATACAAATTTTATTAAAGTAAAACCTTCGTCTACTATACCTCAGACTTAATTAAACCGAAATAATTTAAATTTTGTAAGCAGTAGAATCCTACCAGACCACAATTGCGAAAGATTCTTTCTTTTCTATGTAGGGTTCAATATACAACTGGGTCCAGCATCACAGGTTACATCACGCTCAATTCAAAACTGATGGAGATCCCTACAATCCAAAACATGGATTTATTTACGCACATTTCCTTACAAGGCTGCGTAAACTAAGCGACTATCAACTAGCTCTCAAGGACACTGTAGATATGTCAGACCTGGAGAAGGACTCGATTGTCATGTTTCAAAAAAGGTATTTTATTATACTTTCTGTCGTTTTTATTTTTCTGTTTAAATGTTTATTAAAGTACTTATCCAAGCCGTTTATAGGGTTTGTTAACGTCATGCGAGTGTATTGTTTTAAAAATTAGAAGTGTAAAATAAATAAAATACGATTTAATCCTTTTGAAATCTACCAACATTAGGCATTTGACACCATTAACATTATGTGCTAAACGTTATAATATCACCAATTATGGTTTTAATTGTATAATACTTTTATGAAGTTGCTAATTGAAAATACAGCTCTCGAATAACTAATAACCAACATTACACGTAATTATAGTTATTACATATAATATAATAATATGTATATACCTTTAAAGCCATAAAATTAATCCATAGCCAGGCATTAAAAGTACAGAGTTCATAAGAATCAAAATACTTCTCTAAGATTTTAAAGTAGGTACTTCGATGGAATAACATTCTAAGTTTTATACACTCGTGAATCCTGCTTCAAAATATTTTAATCAGCAACAATATAGATGGGTAGTGTAAGAATCGTAGTAATGTTAGGGAAATTTCATCTAAGCGACTTGTGAAATTAGTTCCGCTTCCCGTTTCTCGTGTATCAATTTCCTCTATTGTTTACGATTTGGCCAACAAACGTACAAATTTCCTCTATACCCTTACTTATGACATGAAATAACTTTTTTTTTTCTAGGTTTTACTGGATACTATACGGTTTATTATTTATGCTCCTTCCATTAAACGCCCCTCTCGAATATTGGAATGACAGTGTATTAAGCGCGATATTTCTCATTGGCTTGTTGCGGTACTGCCTCGTGTTACATGCCTCTTGGCTCATCGAGAGCGGAGTAGTACTATGGGGATTGAAAGAAGGCGAAAAGTAAGTAAAAAATGCACACATTAGAATGCATATAGTATATTTTAACCCACACTAATACTTATGAGGTAATGTTATAACATTAATTCGCATTACACAACAATGGAGGGCAGCATCGATGTTTCATTGTTAACGTTTATTGATTCATATCAGACTTATATTAGCAGTATATTATTTAATGTTAGTAAATTCATGTACATAAAAATAATTAATATAAAAGATTTTACATTTGAAATATCCTATATTGCCTGCCATTATACAAGAATAGAAGTTTATAATTTTTATCTTTTAGGTTCCCCCCAGACAGCAATCTTGTGTTTGTCTTAAATAGAACATTTTGGCCACACTACCACTACATCTACTCAAAAGACTATAAATCTGGAGAATATGGCACATACGGTGAGAAATATTTTATTAATATTCATTAAACATTCTGTTTACCCGAGTAATGATAACCTTTTGACAGCCAAATCGTTGATGTCCAAACCGTTTTCTTTTGTCAGAGACTATTTTAAGTTTATTTAAAATAGATACACTTTATTTTTCATAATTAGTATATTATGTATTATAGTTATCACACGTTTCACAATTTCATCACACAGAAGGCAGAACTGAAGTTTAAAAACGAAAATTCAGTAAGGAACATCTATTTTATAAAACTTGATTTTCCATGTTAACCCTACTTTTACTACAGGAACATGGCTTACAAATGAGTAAATATGTTTTTGTAAGAAAATCGACGTCTCTAAGCAAAGACATTTTGGGTAACTCGTTTTGTATTACAGATTCGGGCTGCTCCACTGCGTTTATAAAAGTATTCGCAGCACTTGGCCTTGCAACGAAGTTAACAACACTCGAACCTCGCACTCTGCAAACCGCTATGGCGGAGAGCGCCAAAACCAACAAGCCTATTAGCGACTGCATAGAGGAAGCTTTGAAAAACCAAATACTAAGCGATGAACACTTTTTAAAACAGTAATGTAATCTATTTTAAAAGTTCAGTACAACATGTTTTTATAATACATATTTATTAACAATAATAGTTTTATTACTTTGTAATTAAATGTAGTAATTTAAATGTTGCTTTCAATTGAAGTCGATATTTAAGGGACACAAGGGAAGCTGCTTTCAGGTTCCTTTTTTAAATATGTATATACTTACATTGTTTCATGGCTATATCTGCTTAGAATTTCCCAGAAACTCTGTAGCTGATCGTCGAGTTTTTTCTGTAATAATTCTTTATAAGCAGGCAAAGCACTTGAGATCCTTCTATTATTATAAGTGTCTATGGGCAGCGATATCATCATAACATGATCCGATAAACCACCTTCCCCTTTGTCACCTTTTTTATAAAACAAACTAACTAATGACAGTGGCTTTTATTCCTTATCCTTGGCAGTCAAATAACCAATACCAAATTTTCATAATAAAACACTGTCGGTGTTTTAAAGAAATGTCTTTTACTATTGCACACCTTCCTAAGATATACATATGACATAATTGTCGAATAAAATCATAGTCTAAACGAACATAATATGAGTATTTAATAAACGTAATTCACTCTAACGTGAATATATTATTCTATAGCAGTATTTTTTTAATGCGATCCCGTTTTCTTTACGATTCTTCCAACAATACTCACCAACTCCTGAAAAAATATATGACAATGTTAAACAAATCCCTTTCCGAAATTTTCTTATTTACTTTCTTAGAACATGAATTATATATATATGTATAAATATATTTTTAAAGTGTATAAATAACTGGTATAATATAACTTAACGATGTCCTGCGACTTGGAGTGTATATCAACACGATTTGTTCGTTTACATATTTATTGTTTTTATTTCAAACATCAAATACGTAGATCAAATCAAATCTACGATGAGTGATTTTGGTTATAGCCCGCTCTTAATGTATGAAAAATCTATTACTTATTATCGATTTATATAGATGTCTACGAAAATTCTTCTACTACGGGTTCTTAAACTTATATTAATGTTAGCAATGAAAATATTTTAATGATTACTTATAATGGAAAGTACTCACCTATCTTATAATAACTCTATACCTTACTAACATGTCATACTATCACATCTCAGTTTTGATGTTAAAAAACTTATAATACTATTAAAATTCTACTCATTTACCTAACATAAGTTGGATTCGATTTATGATAACTTTCTGTATACGTCGAGAGGTGCGATTAAACATGTTAAAATATCACTGTTCTCAACGAATTGTAGGTATTTATGCTGTGGGACAAAAAACGGGCACCAAAGGTGAGTATATTGCTATGTACAAATATGTATATAGGAAAGCATCTCAAAATAATAATGCGAATTATAAAGACATCCATAAATCCACTTTACACACATATTAACCTTTATTACGATTCTAGGTATTCGTAATTCCTCCCATACACCTCTGTATTCTTTAATATTCGCAGTATCTTTTTTTATTTAACTATTAACTGCCTCGACTTAGGCCGAAACTGAATATATGTGTTAAATGTTTCGGATTAAAAGGCACATAATGTCTAAATCTACTTACTTATAAGAAAATGCGAAAAACTTTCTACTGCGTTTTCAGGGCGAACACAGTGTTGTAAGCGTTTTATTACCTTAAAGTTATTGACATTCACGTATGTTGTTCTCTATTATAACTCATGTGTCTGTTTATACACAAATCTACTAACCAATAGAAAGTGATGCGATTAAACCAGTGATAATGACAAGAAAGGCTGTCTGCACATCATGAGCTCTTGCTGAGGCGAATCCTGTGGGTGAGGCACACTCGGGCATAGCTGGCACCAAACTTGTGGTTAATCGTGATAAAGTACCGCCACTTCGAAGCCGGAGCAAACTATGGATTTTTACCTTACTTATTAACATTTCTTACATTCATTAAATATTACATCTGTATTATAGAGTCCATAATTTCAAGTCATGTTATATTCGTCACTATAAATCTACAATATTGTCCGACAACTATAACTTTTATAATATAAATTTAACAATATTTACATTTACATGAACGATAAGCCATAAATAACAAAAAAGTAAAACGTAATGTTCTGTGATGTTTGTTTCTTTACTCTCAGCTATTTTACATCTTTATAATAAAAAATAAGAGGAATATACAAACCCATAGTTATTCGATTATCATATTATACAATCTGTTTCGTAGGTAATCACGTTGTCATGATAACGCACAAGAGCTCAACGATCTTAAACGATTTTCAGAATTTGAATTAAATCAATACAGGTACCTACAATAATGATTTTTAGTTTTTTTACAACAAACAACATTGTATGTAGTAAAAATACAATGGATAGTTCCCATTGACAATTTTTACAAGAGAAAATTAAAAAAATATCTATCTATCCCCTGCCCTGCCCTGCCCTACTAACCTTTTGACCTCTCAGTCGATTTGTCGCTGTGACCGATATTGGTTATGTAATTTGTCCACGCGCAGGTGCCTATCCCTAATGCGCGCGTATTTATCTAAGTTTTACGAATAAAGAAATTGTGATTTGTAAAAAAAAAACCCAATATGAATATAACCTAACACTAATGTGAGTTGCGAAGGGTAGTTGAGATACTGAATATGCTTTTAAGATTTTCGTTCATCATATATTATACCATACTATAATTATACGTCTCTTCATGAGAGGTGTAATTGGTAGCTACGATCGGTGAATTATCGGCAACAATATATTGAACAACAACTAGAGGTGACTTTCTCAGACCCATTGAGTTCACAAGTTCAAGTCACACGTTCTATAAATTATGCAAACTATAACTAATTTATAATAACTGTAAAGTTCGTAGGCTAACATAGAAAAAATCTTTTTTGATAGAATTCGATTCGATTATTTTTCTTCTAGAGCGATACAACGATTGAAGCGGTTGTACCATAAATATGGTAATACCAGCCGAATTTTGTGTCTTTCCACGTTTTGGATTAGGTTCATCACGTGCAGTCCACTCCGCTGATTGTTGATTGGACTCCGGTGTGAATTGATGGAACCATGTTTCATCCATTGTCACATAGCGATGGAAAAATTCGGATTTATTACGATTGAACAGCTTCAAACATTGCTCAGAATCATCATATCGTTGTTGTTTTTGGTCGATTGTGAGCTTGCGCGGCACCCACTTTGAACACAGCTTTTGCATTTCCAAATATTCATCTAGGATATGTCCAAGACGTTCCTTTGATCTGTAGATCTATCTTATCTATCTTAATCAACTCCCTTTTCGGTTATCCAAAATGATTTTGTGGACTTTTTCGTCGACAACAGCCTCTTTGGGGCATTTACTGCGTGCAGAGTCCTCGGTGCTCATATCGCTTCGTTAAAACTTAGCAAACCACTTCTCAACGGTTGATTTTCCTAGTCCAGAGGTTCCGAATAATATATATCTGGGCAAGCATTGGCGTCAATAGTATTTTTTTTCGCCAAAAAGCAATGCTTTATTGCTAAAAATCTTTTTTCAACAAACAAAAGTTCCTTCGCTGAATATTTTTAGTGAGATATAGAATACTATATCACTAATAATATTATTGTATTATAAAATAATAGTAGGTACGACTGTTATCAAATTTATGCACATCATATAGGTATGCGTCAGCCTACGAACTTTTCAGCCCACGTATAATATATGTAGAACCTCTATAAGTCGAACATCAAGGGAGACGCCAAAAAATTCGAGTTATAGAGTTTTCAACTTATGGAGGTTGATGTTTATATTTATGTTTTCTAAAATGTTTTCTAAGAAACAATAGTGTACTCACATTGGCGGCAAGTTCTTAAAGTCGGCAACTTATTTTAGTTCGAACAATAGAGATAAAAAATTCCAAATGATCAAGTTGTAAAGGTTGTAAAATAAAACGTTCCTATGTTCGAGATACAGAGGTCAAATTTAATTTTTCGAGTTATAGAGTGAAAATATGTACCAAAATGGCTTGGAGGGACTCGGTGATTATTTCGATTAACAGAGGGTCAATATTTCAAGTAATGGAGGTTTTGGTGTTTTAAGGGAAGGGAACAAAACATTTTTTCGAGATTTGGAGGTTTTTGACTTATCGAGGTTCGACTTAACGAGGTTCTACATATACGTAACTTACCTAACTTTCGTGCGTCCGAAATTAAATCCAGGATCTCAAATCACTAAGCCACATTAATTAATATGTAATTGTTTATTGCACGTAAATGTCTCGCATTCTGTTCTTACCTAAAACAGTGGTTTTCGCCGGGTTTGAATCGAGAATGTTTAAAGGCAAATATCTTAAAGTTATATTATTAATGTCTAATGGAACGTGTTCACCCACTGGGGAAAAGTCTTAACATTACCCTTACGTTGAATTTATAACGTGCCACAGCCCACAGGCTTATATGTATTTAATATTTTCTGAATTCAAGTTCTACTATAAAAGGAACGAACATTAATTTCTAAATATGTTTTGAAAATTGGTAATACTCGCCAATATAAGTGTATTTTTGTACTTGCGCGATTAGACTAGACGGAAAATCTTAAATATTTCACTGATTTGATTATAAATTTAAAAACAAGCGCCATTTTCGACGAGTGTTGCCATCTCAAAACTATTATTTCTTAGAGCCTTCATTATTTCGTCAATATTGTAATTATATAATAAGAGTCACCTTATAAGAATTACCCTTGAATAGGGCGATCGTCGCGGCAGAGGAAACGAAAGTTGAGAGCGAGTTGAGTGGACAGGCAACTCGCGTAGGACGCAGCGTCCTCGTGCTTGGCTCATAGATCTGTTTAAAAAAGTCTTATCTTTTCATAGAAGGTAATTTTTATTTTTTTAACTCGTGTGCATAACCATATATCGGCATTTGTTTCCCTTTAATTGTTCTTTATTTAAAAAAACAGATTCAGATTCTCATAAAACAAAGATTTTGGAAATGAAACAATTACAACATGTGCAATGTGCATGTTAAAAGTATAACTATTTTTACCGATATTCACAATATTGATACAATTTAAAGTCGTTATTTACTCAGGCAACTGTAATTACCTTACTTCCCCATAAACCACTTCCTTTATTTACATACGTACTTAAGTGTTGAACGAGCTGCCCGTTGTCCGGCAAAAAAAGCATAGTCTTGACTGGCAGCGCGGGCGAGGCCTTCTTCGGGCGATGAAACGAGATTTTCAGCCTCTGAATAGCCACGAATATAGAACGCATTCAGCTGTATATCTTTTGTCGACTGTTAAACCATAATAATAGTTATTTAGATCATTAATTATTAAATATATATATTATATATTAATATTATTAAAATTAATATATATTAAATATTAATTTGAATTTCTCTTAAGAATTCTACACGATATATCTGTATTCCTTTAACGTTCTTTTAACGTTTTCTATGAAATATATATTATATGTGTTTATACTATATTTTTATGAACCCATTTTTATTATCCTCACCATTAGGTATATTTGATCGGCTCCATTTTTTATGTACCCAATCTTTATATTCGGAGACTGTAACACATCAGATACAGATCCAACGTTCGCAACACGAACAGATAGGACAGATGTAATAAAGGCCGCATATGCATTATATGTTATCAGTCCAAAAAATAGGCATACTATGACCAAAATGCTAGCCGCAGGGTTTGAAGTGGTGCAGGTACCACCTGGAGGTAAAACTTTTAGTCAGTCCTTATAATTAAAAATTAATAATAACGGTTTTGTAAATGTACTCTGAAAATTAATTTCGCTGTTTCGATGTTTAAATTTAAAGCCTTAGGCAAGTAATTTATTACAAGAGTCGCAAACAGAAGGGTGTATAGATTCATACACAGTTATTATATAAACAAAATTAAACTTTAGTAGATCAATATATCTCCCAGCCTTAAGAGCGGGTCTCGCAAGGAATTGCGCCCCAGCTCGCCCATGAATTTTGTAAATAAAAATATTACCGATGTAGCGTAAAAATTACGTACACGTGTATTTCGCGAGACGTGTGACGTGAAGTTTAGAGATAGAAAAAGTCCCTGGACACAATGGCAGGGGAGTAGAATACGTATTATTTATAATAAAAAAAATATATCTTCCAAAAAGATTACGTATTTTTTTCATTTTCAGAACTATACTATTGATGTAATAAATTGGAAATATCATATTTAATTCGATTTACTTTAATTATACATTATAAAACCGCGTTATAAATACCTTGTTGGCATAATATTCCCGTCGACCATATTAATGCCTCACTACAACCTATTTGTCGAGATTTATTTTTTAAAAATGTCCTTGATATGTTAGAAATTAAAACAATAGTGATCGCAGACACAACCAATACGATTGCTACGCATATTAGGAGTCGAGTACTGAATGGAGCCAGAAATATGTCCCGCACCGATGATGTCTCTTTGTTACGTATGTAGATGTTGTACCTAAAAATAATGTTTTGTCTCGTTTAAACGCTTGTTGGTGGCAAAAAAAACCTCAATTACTATCAGCGGCATCCGACATACATTATTAATGCAACTGTGAAATCTCTCGGTATCCGTCATATAAGTGGATTCATAACCCACCCGAGAGGAAGTAACATTATAATCGAATTATCCGACCGGGAATCTTTAAAACTCCATAAAATATTTACAAATTATTTATTTTAGTTAAGATTAAAGTGCCTGTAAAGATCAGTTACTCAGGCACTACCAATAAATAGGTTTGGCCTGTAGTACGATTCTGGGATCTTAAGGATGAAGAAAATATTGAAATTTCCTCTTGTATTTAGAATTTTTTATGAAATATTACTTACATAGTCTCTGCGATCGGAAATATAAAGTCCATTTCTTGCTGACCTGACACTTGCTTAGTCACTGGTTCGAGGGCAATATCTACTGTATGGTCTAAAAGTGCCCCGAGCAAACCTGACCACGCTCCTTCATATGTACGAAATCCCAATTTACTGTAATATCGAGTCAATGACCTGTTTGTAATAAATACGTTTAAAACTCTAATAACATTAGACAGGCGCTACCTGACTAAAAACTTATATAACTTAAGATATTTTTCATACTATATAATAGTTAAGAAGAAGTTGTTTTAGCTTCGCCATAGTTAAGGTCAACGATAACTTTAATCAATAAAATGTTTATAAAAATAATACAACAGATGAAAATACAAAATTATCCATTTGTTTACGGTCCTAAGATCGATATCTAAAATATGTTGCAATATAAGTACCACACACTAACCCAAAATGCAATTTACTCCTAAGCTTTTAGTGCGGCATAAATAACAATGTCTAATTTTTTAAACTTTAAACCGAGAAACTTGGATAAGAAACGGGTAGAAGTCTGAAATTTTGACGGAAAAGTTAGACGTAGAACTTCGCGGTATCGAAATTAGTTTCTATAAGATATTTTAATATATATAAAAGCTACTTACGTTCCATTCATTCTCACAATAAGAAAGTGCAGCAAGTCATCCAAAAGCCCAGGTGCTGAAGGACCATCTTGGTCAGGAAGAGGCTTCTCGTCAGTGTAATTGCATCTTCCGACGATTAATTTCTCGCCCATGAAATTGCGTGCTTCTACTGGATACGGTATTTTCATACTTGCCATTGATTGCTCTAGACTCCAGTACCCTTCAATTATAATTTCAAATAAATTCCAAAATTAGTCGTACCAACATAATATTACGAGAATAAACAATATTATGCCCAAAATATTTAAACCTCATAAGTAAACAAAGTAATAAATACCTAAGTGTGATGCGTACAATGTAGAATTCACTCGAACTTTAAAGTACTGTACAACATGTATCGTTTCGTTTTTCGTGTATAAATAAGGTTTTAATATAAGCTCACTCGCATTTGTCATATCAAATCTTCCAGTATAATAATTATATATTGTTCCACTTCCATGGAGCGGCACTAGATGGCTATTATGAAAAATATTTTTATTCCTCGCCAAATTCATAAATCTGTTTGAGCTCCGATTATATCTCAATGCCTTTTCAGGTTGAATACAATTCCGGGTATGAAATTGTTGTTGAGAACAATTCGCAATATTTCTATGGTATTTCAAAGAATTATCAAAGTTGTTTGCGCAAAGTATATTATTGCCTTTATTCAGATTATGAGGTAAAGTGACTATTATATTCTGGTCGTAACGGAGTTCAGATGTATTTAATACCTTGTATATATATTTTCTATCATATATAGATTTCAAACCTATTATCCACTCAGACGAAGCCGAATTCAATTCCCAGGCATTAAGCTATAAGTAATATTTTAATTATCATAAATCGTAATTGAATGAAAAGGGAAAATTGTAGTAGAACCACAAAAGAGGAAAGAAGAAAAATACGTGTCATGCATCCCACGACTTTTTCTTATCTTCTCTACAAAGAAGGGGTTGTATGGTCTAGAAATGCCAGAGATCGAGAATTCTTAAAAGATTGACAGTTGCAATAACAATTGAATAGTCCAGTAGTTAACTCCAGGAAATTATTTTAAATGTATGGTTCATTATATACAGACTCCATTACCACTAGTATTACCTACTAGACTTAATACTAGAGCTAGTAACAGATAAATATTATACCTGTTTGATATGTTGAGCCAGCACTGATGTGTTTCGAGCTAAATTTGTCGATAAAGTAACCACTCCAATTTTTATATTAAAACGAGGCTTTTTGTCCACATTGAGGGCGACTGCAACGCCATTGACTACCAGACATTTCATAAAACGCAATATCATCCAACTGCAATCTTTAAAAAAAAAAGTATGATTCTAAGTATACCTAATTAATAATATCCATCCAAAAAAAATAATTTTACATAAAAAATAACCTTTCATACATCGACACATTTACTCTAATAAGGTAAGGTAAGGTCCACAATATTTAGAAATCGTTTTTGAAGCATTGGATTAAATAAACATTTATAATTTGTTGTATTCATTTTCCAATGTCAGAAAAATTACGAAATAATATAGTTTAAATACATTTTGCAAAAAGAAACATAAAATACCAATGATTATTATTATTCTGACAAGTGAATCGTTAAACTTAAAGAGCTCATCATCTAAAAAAAAGGGTGCGTGTACTTATGTATGCGCGTAAGAAGTTATACTTCTTCGGCATTATTAAAAATAGTTTTTGATTGCATGCAAATAATTAATTACAATTAAATAATCAAAGACTGGAAAAGGAGTCATTATAGTCAATAAAGTTCACTTTACATTTGAAAAATTAAATAAATAAATATTTATTATGATTCTCTTACATTAAGTGTAACATAAATTCTATTATTATTCGAATGTTGTTTTTAAATTATGTCCAATGCCGTAGCATCTTCATTCTGTTAATTTTGTGTCACGGTGCGCGCGCATCGTAAAATTTCACTTTCATCCATTTTTCATAAGGCGCCTAAAGAAGTATAACTTCAAAAGATTTTTTTAGGATATTATAAATGGCGTGACTGGGATTTCCTGATGGAAATACAACATAATCACAGCGTTACCCAAAAATATAATAAAAACTAAACATTCAATACAATAACATAACAAACCTAAGTAAAGCCGTTTTTATGCAAATCTGTACATCCTCGGGTTTAACCAGTATTATAGACAAATTAAAAAAAAAATTGTCATTGCTTGTCTAAATAAAACTTATCCGAAAATCTTATCTTATTCTATCCACCAAACTCATCAAGTTATGTCTTTTAAATGTCTACTCATACAGTTAATATAGATGCATTTGCAAACATGCTTTATATCTACATTTAGAAAATTAAACATTGAAAATATTATTTCAATATTATTAAATTCTTACCTGTTTTAAGGTCTTTGGTAAATATTAATGCTTGATTCCAGTTGCGCCAAACTGCATGTTCAACTATGTACGTAAGAGTCGAGGAAATTTCGGAAGGGCATCTTTGCTCTAAGCAAAACGTGAGATTAACAAAAGTCATACACAAAAGCACTTTAAGATTCAACATAGCCTCCAATCTAATATGTAATATTTTTTTATATATTTAATATCAAGTGTGTGGGCCAGTGACAGTGCCTAGTTCTACGACTACCTACTTAATAGTGTTACTATGCTTACTGTCCTTCAAACGGAACAGTAGAATATTGTGTTGCTTCGAGGACAACATTTTCCATTGGGTTAATCAATCAAAGAGTCATAATTCTACCTTTACTATTGAATAGAATAGATATTTTCATTAATTGAATCACCATTTCACTGAAATGTATCATGATATATGAACATTTGAATAAACAATTAATATTTAAGAGTAATCAATCATAAACGTAATCATTAAATACCCGGTTTCGTCTTACGTTCTCTCAACCGGCGCTTATTTATAAATAATAATAAATATGTACAAAAACTATTTCAAGATAAATTTTAAGAAAATCCATCAACACGACGTTAACTGCCTGGCGCCTGTTACCTACCTATATTTTGTTTCATTACAGTCCCGGAAATCATCAAAAATTACATTAGGTAGAATTAGTTTTCAGGTATTATTATTTATTACAAGTCCGTCTTTTGTACAAGAGTCCTTATCTACCAATAGAAAAACAGTGTATGTTGCCAAAATATAGCATTCTTATGAACAAATTAGTGATGGTTTCGTTACCGTCAAAGCATGACAGTTTCAATTTAAACACACAGCAATTAAAACGCTGTTACAATTTACCGAAGATCAAAGTAACAATGATGTAAATTTGTTCAAGATCTCTAATAATAATTATTTTCATTTTATAGGAATGTATATATATATACATATAATTATAAGCTTTGAACATAATTCTTCATACCAGTTAAGTTGAAGAAAGATTTGGAAGCGGCAGTTCTTCGTAGTAACCACTGTAAGATTTAAGTAAGGTTATTATAATTGTGATTTGTGTGCATTTTCGGCTACTCACTTGTTAGTTATATAAGCAAACAGGTGTTTATTTTAGTATACCTAATACAAAGTACTATAGTACTTGCCCAATAATCCGAAAAAAGAACATTGCGATCTTTGTTAAGGTATATATTTTAATGGATGCAGGATATTTCAACCCTAAGAGTTTAGTTAGGTTGTTCATGGGATGGTTCACGAAAATATGGTCAAATTAAATTAAATCATTAACAAGATAATTAAAAACATTTTAATTTATTTCTAAAAGCACACAATCACTTGTGGTATAATTACATATTATTAATAAATATATATAGCTATTATGACTAGTAAAATTCTTGAAAAATCTTCATCAAGTATTAAAAATTTTAACTATCTGACAATTTATATTTTGAATGGGCTTCAACATTGAATTTGTGACATCAGGTAACTATGGATATAAAAAATAAACAAAATGTTATAGTGCTCAATGGTTACAACATTTCATCAAAATGAAATATACATATAGAATTATCCAGGCCTTTTTTTAACTATTGAAACCATTACATAACAATTACTTTTTATAAAATGTTATAATTTGTATGTATATTAAACAAAAAACTATGCTACATATTAAAAAATTATGCATATGTATTACAATCCTCAATAATAATACACTCCTTTGCTCTCTGATTTTCAGAGTCATTTTTATTATTTGTACCTATTTTTGCTTCCTTTGTGGTTTTTGAATTGTCATCCTTGCCAGACTTTCTCTTTAAACCAAGTCCTTTATTTGTATTTAAATCACTGTGATCACTATTTGAAACCTTCCTCTTTTTTGACTTGGTTATAACAAAATCTACATCAGAGGAATCATCATCAAACCCTGCATACACTGGAACAGATCGGCCACTTCGTGTTGACCTTTGTGGTTGTATTCTGGTCGTTTCTTCAAGAATTTGTAGTGGAGGGGGCCATGCTGCAAGATTTACTGACTGTCTAGCTTGTCTATAGTTATTTAAGGACATAATTTTAAAATATACAACAAGAAGCCGGGCTCGTTCAGCTGCAGATGTTGAATTTGGAAAAAGACTCCAAGGTAAACGCCTGTCTCTGACATTTAAATAACGCCTTCTCATTTTTAGTTTTGGTGATGCATTGCAAACAATATCTTCCTTCTGTAAGCACAAGGATAGAAGAAAAGTTTAAAAGAATAAATTTCGTTTTAGTCTATCAAAACTCCCGTTTAGAGATTTATATTTTACCTTCTGTCGGTCTTCATCTTGAGCAGCGGATTTTGAAAATTTTAAAACTTTAAGCAAATCGGTCATCTCTTCTTTACTCAAGTTATCTTCATTTAAACCATATTCTAAAACATGAAGTATAAATACATTGCACGAAATTTGGGATTGACCAGAGTTAATAAGTATAATATAAACACTTTAAAATATAGTTACCGGTCAATTGTGTTCGCAAACTCTTGATATCAGTATCGGAACTTTCTTCGGAAGACAGAACATACTCCATTTTTTCTGTTATTAAAATATTTTCAATGCTTCTTGCGCTGGAACATAGGCCATAGGTAAATCAATCCTTACGTCTACGATTGTGCAATTATTTTCATATAGCTACAAATATATTAATAAATATTAAAAAAGAACGGAACGTATATTTTGCTGATTTGTTTGTAAATTATTTAATATTTTCCACAGATTAGCAATTCTTGACAAGAATGACAAGAATTTCTTGTTCTTTCATATTTGACACAGACTTTGTTTGTTTTTTTTTACCTTCGGCCTTTTTATAAACTTACGTTACCTTATGAATATAAATCCAATACATTTTTGGCGTTCGGAACTCATAGGGCTATTTTGTTTTTTCATTTATGATTTGATTGTTTGATTTATTTTAAGATTCTATGACCTGATTCTCATTTCTAAATCCTAGCCATAGTTTGTTCGGAAAGGAAACCGGCTTAGTGGGTGGACTTAAATTAGCATTTAGGGAAATATTTTTGTTCAGCGAGAGTGTGGTATGTTTGCTTTGGAAAAAATATACGCAAGACAAGGCGCTATGGTCAAAAAACTTTAGCCTGACCAGACAGCGATGCATAATAAAAAAAATCTTTGCCGATTGTCAACATAAATAGTCAAATGTCAGCACAATGAGCTATGTTTTGATTTTTCATATGTTGTAGCTATTATTTAAATAATCTCTCTTGAGCATTTTCTATTCTAACCGAAATAGGTCAAACTGAATCAAATCTAATGTGATAGCTAATTTCATTTATTATCTTTGATAAATACAAATTAAAACATTAGGTAACGTAATGTAGACAAACAAAATTGACTTTTCCAAATTACTTTCGAAAACTACAAGATGGAAGAAGAATTGAGATGTTACGTGTGTAAAGGGTTCTACAGAGAGCCTGTTTTGTTACCTTGCGGCCACGCACTATGTCGGCTTTGTGCAGTTAATTTACAAACTCATGTTCCTGAGGCAGATAATGCATCGGCGTCAGCATCTGACTATCAAGAAGCAGACAAAGCCTCTGTCTCTAGCGAAACTGATAGTGGAGTAGTTTGTGGTTCAAGGCCCAACAGCTATGCTGGGACACCAGCTGCACCAATTTACCCATCCACAGCATTTAGCCTATCTTGCCCCATATGTAACAAGCAAATTTACATGGATGATAATGGTGCTGAAGGTTTGCCACCCTTCCGTGTAATGCGGACTATTGTTGAAAGATTTGGTGGTGTCAACATTGCACCACCTGCTGAAGAAGCATGTCAGATGTGTGAAGGAGAAAAACGTGCTGCTGTAGTGCGATGTGAGCAATGTTCTGTGAGGTACTGTGCTAATTGTAGAGATGCTTGGCATCCAATTCGAGGACCACTTGCCCAACATGAGTTACGAGCATTGGGAACAACTTGTGGTGATCATGGAGCTACTCCTGTACTATATTGTAATACATGTCTTATACCAATTTGCCAAAGGTGCCTTGCTGAAAAACATTCTCAACATGAAACACAGCCTCTATCAAATGCAGCTAGAGCTCACAAGGTAATTGCTCTAAATTTATTTATAATCTAATTCACCAAAACTGTAAGTATGTACATATTATGTCTAATAAGTTTTTGCGTTTCAGATTAATTAAAAGTATATATTTTTTTACAGACTGATCTATCCCAATCTTTGACACAACTGTCTGAAGAAGCAAAAGCTGTTACGGAGTATATTCAGTTAGTTAAGGGATCTGGGGACAAAGTAAATGTAAGTTTAAATCTTCTATCTTAGAGAATGTTTTTTTAAATATGTTGGTTCTGAAATAAGTATTGATTTACTTGCCTGGATTTAATTTATTTTCCTGTATAATGAACAATATATAGATTAGCTGTGGATCTTATAAATCATACTTTTCATAATACATTTTTAGTCATAAAAATAAATGCGACATATAAAATTAGCCTACTGAATAACATGATGACCTAATGGAAATCGGTACACTTATTAAAAGTAATGTAAACTTTTATTTACTTTAATGACTAGGAATCCTGTGAAGAATTAGAAAGGCAAATTGATCAAGCATGTGCAGAAATAACTCGTGCTGTTGAAAGACGACGAGATGAATTAGTACGGGCAGCAAGAAATACAAGATCACAGGCGGCAACAAACATGCGTACCCTGACAGCGCATGCTGCACAAAAGCTGAGAGAAGCAACTGCTCTGTTACACTTCTCAATTGAAGCACTAAAGGAAACTGATCATGCTGCCTTTCTTCAGGTATAATGTTTTTTTACAATAATTTTTATATCAATTGTTATTAATAAACATAATGTTGTATGTTTAATATATTCCATATGCATAAAGTATTTGCTTTCCAAAAATGTAATTGCCAGACTTCGTCATACTAGATAAGATTAGAAAAATACTATTGTTATGTATACATAATCTTATCTATGACAATGTTAGTTATCTATAATATATTGAAATAATGTTTTGTTCCATTATATATATACATACATAAATATTACACATAATTTTTATTTTTACATATTGTATATAACTAACTTGTATTTGTTTAGTATCATACTTTAGAAGAGATTGAGTTTTCCTGGATGGTAGTTGATGGTTGATGAAAGTGGTCTGTTTATGCCCATTATGTTGTTTTGTAACGCCTCAGAAATGATTTTATAATATGATAAAGAAATTAGGTTGTCTTTCATTGATATAAAAACTCTTGCTGCTTGTTGTAATAGATTACGTATATTATCATCAAAATAATTATAACAGTTATTTATGATTTACGCAATTTATTTAAAAGCCCTTTCACCTATATAAATTTATTTTCAAGTAATATCAATTTTATTTTCCAAATAAACAGCGTGTGCCCTAAGTATTATGTAACAAATTTTTGATTCCTCTTGTAAAACGTTTCGATGCAGGGCGGGGATTCAATTACGCGTTATTATTATTATTTTTGACTTTCCCATACTTGACTTGAACGCTCCCTTAGTACTTAAGTTATCTTACAATAAAGCTCATGAAAGTGTCTTACTTTTTTTATTAATAATTAAAAAAAATCAAAATTACATAGTCACACAAAAACGCGGTTTTCTGCTTCGAAAAAATGTACTACTTTATATCATGTTCATATAAAATACTTACTTAAACTATTACATCGCAAATAGACGGAGCCAATGCGATGCCTAAATAAGATTACTTCAGATTATATCATTAATGACTTAATGACTATTTTAATGTAACAAGTAAAAAATTACAGGTTGGTAACATCTTAGCCGCACGTGCACAAGATACAGCGAGTGGCCTCCGTGAGTCTCTTGAGACACCACCCTCACCACCCGCCCTTACACTCGACATTGAGCCTGTATTACGTACAGTCAAGACTATGAACTTTATCGAATGCATACGTGAGTTTATTGTGTTTCTTTGTTTTGTTTTTGTTTGTATATATATGAAGTAAAATATAAATATTTACCTCTCATTGGATATGCAGCCCCGGAAAAGGAAATGAAGTCTTCAGGTATTTTAAGATTTATACATTTTATCACATACTTTTTACTGTCTATTATATGCAAGATTTATAAAATCAATAAGAAAGTACATGTTTAATACGCATTCAATTATCACAATTCCAGTAGATATTTAAACGCGATTTAATCCTACAATTACTACTATATGCCTTTGACCGTTTATTATTCAATTTCTAATCCTTTATTAGTGATTTGAACGCGAAAATATGACACTGTATACATAACTCGACGTTTTGATTATTTTCCGGCGAAGGTCTTCTGACCAAAACCGCTAAAAGTTATAAAAAGTTATATTAAAATGTATTGCTCGCGTAAATTAAAGACAATAATACACATAAAGCGTGTTGAACTCTTAGAAATTAGTACCATCAATTGCTTATAAGTTTAAAGTGTTAGGTGATAACCATATAGTAGTATAAGTATTTTGTTTAGCGCCAGGAGCCCCTGAAATGGCCGTTGAAGCGTGCGCGGCGCGCGGTTGTTCGTGCACGTTAGCGTGGCGGCCGCCCGTCGCACCGCACGCTGTTCGGGGATATATATTGGAACTGGACGATGGCTTAGGAGGACTATTTCGAGTTAGTATTTAAGTTCTTAATAAAATCTACAATGTTACAAGCAAAATACCTTGTTTGTTTTTAACATTTAAGATATGCGTTACTTTTATAATATACAAATTAAACCTTTGATGTAATTATTTAATTATATACATATTATTGACAAATGACATTTCTTTCAATTCCTATCACTTATCGTCATTGAAGTCTTGACTGGGTACAAGAATATTTAAATCCGACGACATAATGTTGCTTGTATATCAATATGAAAGTTACAGGATTGAATTGAACATTACAGGAAGTGTACTGTGGCCGTGAAACAGTGTGTACAATAGATGGTCTCCATTATGCGTCATTATATAGTGCCAGAGTAAAAGCATTTAACGGGGCTGGTGAAGGGCCGTATAGCGAAGTTATCGGACTACAAACGTCACCAGGTAAGTTTTTCTAAGAAGAAACCACTTTTCGCTACTGTTTTAAATATGTATTTAAAAATTTCTTAGTTTTCGTTATAGTACATTTTATTTACTTTAGTTACAATCGAATTACACTATCAAGTGAACTAATAATTGCATTCAATGTGTTAAGTTTAATAAAGTAAATTAAAAGATCTCATTTATGACATCAATTTCAATTACAATATTGCGTCTGCACCATAATTAATATCAATGTCACTTCTTTACAATCAAATTTGACGTTTCGACTGATTATAAGCATTAAAGAAGTTTTATTTAAAAAAAACAATTGTTTAGTGGCGTGGTTCTCATGGGACGCGCGATGCGCCAGCGGCGAAGGCGTGTCTGTGTGCGCCGAAGGCCTAAGCGCTCGGGCCGCTGGCTGGCAGCCCCGAGTCGTGTTGGCCGATCAGCCGTTAGCTCGCGGCGTGCATTACTGGCGCCTTCGAATTGACCACTACGATGGGGACGCTGACCCCGCCTTCGGGATCGCGAGAGCTGATGTTGCTAAAGAGAAAATGCTAGGTATGAAAAAAGTTGAAGCTAAAAAGAAATTAACTTTATAATTAGGTTGTTGCGAGGTTGTTGTGGTTATATTTCACTGTTATTAAAAGACGTATGTCAGAAACCAAAGATGGTAATTGCGTCTCAGCTCACACCTCACCCACTTAACCAAAATCGTTAACGTTTATATATTAGAAATACCATGTTGTCACTAGGACCAAATTTTGTATAGAAAATACAACATTTCGTTTGTAATTCTTGTGAATTTTTATACAAGGATCCAGATCTCATTTCATGTTTTACACACACCTATATTAGACCTTCGAGAGCAGTGTTGGTCTAGTAGCTTCAGCGTGCGACTCTCATCCCTGAGGTCGTAGGTTCGATCCCCGGCTGTGCACCAATGGACTTTCTTTATATGTGCGCATTTAACATTTGCTCGAACGGTGAAGGAAAACATCGAGAGGAAACCCAAAAAGTCGACGGCGTGTGTCAGGCACTGGAGGCTGATCACCTACTTGCCTATTAGATTTAAAAATGATCATGAAACAGGTTCAGAAATCTGAGGCCAAGACCTAAAGAGGTTGTAGCGCCACTGATTTATTTTTATATTAGACCTTCAACTAAATTCTAATTCAAGACAGATCTCAAGAAATAAAAACTAAACACATTTCTATGATAACTGTCTGCGACTTTTTATTTATTTAATGAAAAACCCACAGGAGCTGCTAGGCAAGGCAAGGCACTAACAAGTACAAAAAAGACTTAACATTACTAAAATCATATAATATGCGTATTATTAAGAATAAACAAAAGACGGCGAGGGCAGCCTTTATATCATAATGCACTTTCAGGTAGCGACGCTCTGGGCTGGGCTATGTACATAGACGGTTCTCGGTCTTGGTTCGTGCACGGCGGGGCTCACGGCGGTCGAGCGCCTGGGGGCATCGCCCCTGGATCCACCGTGGGCATTTTACTAGACCTCACGAGGGGCACCCTTCGATTCACCGTCGATGACCAGCCACAGGTACTATTCACACTGAATTTCTTTTTTTAAGTCTCGTCATATTTTGACTTAATAATGTGGAATTTAAAAACGTTATGACATCATTACATCATCACCGAGAAGTTTCCATAATGTTTTTTTTTTTGTTTTTAAACTCTTAAACGAGTTTCAATTTAGTAATTTTTTTAAATAAAATTTACAGGGCGACATAGCATTTACAGGCCTTCGTGGTGCGTTTTACCCAGCTGTGTCACTAAATCGTGGCGTAGCTGTCACATTACAACCAGGTCTGCCACCACCGCCTGATCTACTTATCTCCACTCTTGCCATAGAATAGATTAATACATAAATTAATATAACTGTACAAATGACTGAAAATATGTAGGATTATTAAAAAATAAAGCAAAATATTGGTATAAACAACCACTAAATCATCGCTGTTTGTGGAGATAGGTTTGGTTATGTTTTTATAGCGAAGTATGGCTTCCGTATGTCAAATATAATAAGTTTTTTTACATATGGGAATCATACTTAACGCTGTGCCTGAATCTTACCCTAAGCGGGAACTAACGCTGTCAGCTGTCAAACCTTATGACCATTTGACAGATGGGAGTGTTGCTTGTCTCTGAATTTTACTCTTCAAGTTGTGAAATCGTTGGTAAATACTAAAGAAAATCGATTATGTCATCATTTCCTATCTAGTTGACCAAGTGGTAATGTAGCTCTACTGGTAAAAACTTAAAATAGCTCCAGAGACAATCATTATAAAGCGATGGTTTATGTGCGACTAGCTAATTGCTTTACTTTATAATAAATCTACACAAATTATGAATTGTTTAATCTTAAATGTTATTTATAACAATTTGAAATTATTGTTAAAAAAAATTCAACGAATAATTGCTTGGATTTCAATGCGTTTACTTACGAATATAAAAGTGTATTACTATTTAACCTTTAAATTGATACACTGATATCAACATCAAGTTGTGAACATCTTGATTGCACTAAATATTTTTTTCACATATTTTAAATATTGCCAACTTAACTGGAACTGTCGCGAAATTCCTTGATACAGTAGTTTTTAACCAATTTTAAACTAAAGGAGGTGGTTAACAAGTCGACGTGAGTTTTTATAACGTCGGCTCATAAAAGGTATAAATCTTTAAACAAATAATATCAGTACTTAATATTTAGTAAGAATTTTGTATTTTATTATATTGTTATCATAGGGACTTCCGTCTATAGTTTAATATATCATGTAGTTTTAGAAAACATATCTTTATTACTCTATAAAAATTTATTTTTTCGCAATAGAGCAAGTCCAGACAATAAGCTAATCGAATTTATTGTATGCATCTCAATGTCTGACGAAAATATTATTAATTTATTATTTTGTTATTCTGCTTATAAGAATTTTACTGGGACCTGATATGAAACAAAATATTCCGAAACCCACCTGCGCTGCTAAAACCTTTTGTATACAAAACGAAAAATGGCCTTTATATGAAGTATCTATAAATAACGAAAGAACTGTTTTGACGATCACTAAACGGTTTCTGTGTTATGCTTGTGTTTGTGTGTGGTTTTTCTACTGCCATTTATTTTAAATTTTAGTATAATTATTATTATTTATTAATATATAAGGCGTTTATATAATAAACAAAATTTCCAAAAAAAAACAAATATTGTTCATTTAAAATCAGGGAGTTCAAAATTCTAGTCATGTATGAAATTTTTCTCAATAACGTGAATTTTATTTATTATTGTCCTTTTAATCATGCATTTTTGATAAGCCTACGTTCTCTTATAATTAATATATGAAGTGTTTGTAATTAAAAAGTACCAAACAAAAAAAGACTAAAAGAAATCGCTATATTTTCCCTAAATGTACCCGCCCTTGTTTATGTAAGAGTAGAGACATTATTTTAAATCATTAAATATAATATTTAAGTATTGTGCCCAATTTTAGAAAAAAAAAGAACTTTTTAAATGTACTTTCACTGAGTTACAAATGACTGAGAAAATGCTGTAACAATGAGTGCTAATTAGGTGCAAGAATGTTCTGCCATGTTCGCCGGTATTTCTAATTTTCAAGTTTTATATAGCACCAATAGACTAACAATCCCATGGAAAAATTAACATGTAAAATAAACCAATGTGAATAACGCTTAGAAGGCTGTTACTATATCAGAAACTAAATCTGAGCACTATGCCGTCATTACTGAGCGGTACAGGTGAGTACGTGAGTGAATGAAATATTTCCATCGCAGGGGTCGAATGCCAAGAGTCGCAACCCTAACCCTACACCCATATGATATAAGGTCATTGTACAATGTACGGCATCTGGTTCAAAATATGATTAAACACGGACAATAATTTTTAATAATTTATTTATATGAGATGCTTGTACACTAGTTTTTTTTTAAAAAGAGATCGTTCGGGGTTCGATTAATAAATAAGGAAAAAAAATATTCAGAACCTTCATCTGTTAATTCCGCATCAGAAGTAAGTCCCCCCTCACCGTCGCGCTCGGCGTCTGAAATACAAATATGTGTTTGTAATTTAACTATTGTAAGTATATTACAAGTGCAAGGAAAAATGTATTCTTTACCTGTACTTTGATCAGCATCGTTATCCGTTTCTGCAACCGCTTCTACAATATCAATGATTTTTATAGAATATTCCTCGCCGTCGAACCAATGAAACTCATATTTCATAATAATTAATTCCCAACCGTAATTGTTTGGAGTTGAAGTAGACGGATTCTGTACATTCGCGTTACACCAAATTTGTGCAATATATGTAGCTCTTCTCATCTGTTGCTGTAGCTCGCGGCATGAAGGAATAGGTCATTTATTATTATAAATAACCTATTTAAAATAATAATTATCGGCGAATTAAAAATTTGCACTGACTTCCGGCACAACTACTTTAGTACGGCACTAGGTTTTTCGACATTTATTCACTATAACAAAGCCGTACATTACCTTGAGAAATTCCATCCACTCCCGTACTCACCTGTACTGCTCAGAAAGACGCCATAGTGCTCAGAGTTCTGATATAGTAACAGCCTTCTAAGCATCATTCGCGTTGGTTCATTTTACATGTTAATTTTTTCCATGGGCTATTGTAGTCTACAATATTTATTTACAATTAAAGAAAACTGACACTTTTTCAACGACCTGGTAGGTAAACGTTTTCGCTGCGATGCTTAAATAAATCTGTTATAAATACACTTATCATTTAATAATAAGTTTTGTTATGTAACGATTTACTATTTTTGTTTACATCCATGTAAAAGTAATTATGCGGTAATGTACTTACCTAAAATAATGGCTATCTTTGTTACTTAAACGAGAGGCACATTTTAAATAAGTACTTAGATATTAAAAATACGAAAGACTTATAATTATACTATTTTGGTTAAGATTAATTTTTATTTAGAATTTTAATTTAGTAAACTTTGTCAGTCATGTTAAGAATGCCTAATTATTGTTTTGATTGTGTATTATGGCGCTTCTAAACGGGCCATGTTTTGCTGCAATTGATGGCTGCACTGTTGGCAACTAATTGTCCGGCCATTATGGCGCGTCTAAACGGGCCATGTTTTGCTGCACTGTTGGCAACTAATTGTCCGGCCATTAGAAAAATATTTTAATGCAGCTGATGGCCGAACAATCTATGGCTGGGCAATGTGTTGCAATATGTCTGCAATAGTATGGCCCATGATGCAGAATCCTAAACGGGCTACACAAACCGGCAAAAATGGCTGACGAAATCACACTTGTCGCAGCAGCTTATATTGTTTTAAAAAAGAAACAGAAAAAGAAGAGATTGTGGATTCGACCTTACCTAAATAGACGTGAAACTGTAGAAAATTTGAGTCTAGAAATAAGCCTTGATAATAAATTATTCAAGGACTTTACTAAAATGTCAAAAGCAGTCATTTTTACGTAGTAACCTAACGTCAAAATGCAGCTGATCGCAAAACACAGAATATAGCAACAGACACACTTCACTCATAGCAAACGTCATGTCGCGTAGAAAAGGATACACTGTGCATTAACAAAGAGAGTGACTGAAACAACAATAGAACTGGCTGTGCAATATTGCAGTTGAATTCGATAGCCTAGCGATCGTCCGGCAACCCCTCGGGGCAACATCGGCCATATGTGGCTATACATAACATGTTTGGCTATATGGCCGGGACATTACTGCAATATTGCATAGTGTGGCTGCTATTGTTTGCAATGTTGCCGGGCCACAGTGTTGCAGCCATCAATTGCAGCAAAACATGGCCCGTTTAGAAGCGCCATTACAATAATTGTATGACACGTAACAGATAATTCTGCACACGTGGTTGAAATCTATAATTTCACATCAAAAGGCATATTTATATTGGCGCATAGTATGGAATAATTGTAGAAACTAAATCTAGCATTTTTAAATTAAAAATTAATCTTCATTTTGTTTTTTTTTTTCATTTCAGAAAACACTGCATAATTTAACCGATTTCGTTTTGGAGATATTGCGGCTAAAAATTTGCCGTGACTAGCTAAGCAAAGTTAATTCATTACAAAGATAGGTTGAATAGAAAACATTGGTAATCTTTAAGATTACTTACAACTACTTTAATGAATAAGAATAGAAGATTGCCAACCACGCCAATCCTTCCACGTCAGTGCGTAGGATTTTTATAACGATATCTCGCGGCAATTTTTAAAGATTTTGAATTATTAGGCAATAATTTCCTATTTTGATACGGCTTGTGACATCCAACGTCAAAATTTGAAATTATGTACCGTGAACGTGCAATAGTTTTGTCTTTGCCTATTGGTTCTAATGCTATCAACCGCTTGCTTTTAAAGATTACAATATGAAATTTACAAAATCTTATTTAAACTTAATTGTTTTTGTAGTAAAGATATTAAATTAGTTTTAGCAATACTTGAATGATTTTTTAAAATTAAATGACATGGTTTCTGTATATCAGCGACGTCACCCCACTATGGCCATAATTTTCGGTGTTTTTTTGTACCACTGGTCTTTGGCACGACTATTTATACTCGTTCATATTAATTTTACTCCTTACTAAGAGGAGTTTTAAAATTCATAATTATTATTTGAAATTAGTCCAGTAAGTGCTCGTTCAGACACAGCGGGAACCACGCGGATCTTATTTACATAGGTGTTTATATAATCGTCCACACATAATCGCGCGGTTACCGCCAGAGGGGAAAAAAAAAAAAAAAAGGGGGGGGGGGGGGCGGGGGGGCCCAAAAAAAAAAAGGGGGAGAAGCCGCCCCCCCCCCCCCCCCCCCACCCCAAAGAAAAGGGGGGAAAGGGAATGGGGGTATACCCTCCCGAGGGGAGGGAAGAAAAAAAGGGGGGGGGAAAAAAAGGAGAAAAAAATCCCCATCAAAAAAAAAAAAAAAAAAAAAGTTTAAAGGAAAAAAAAAAAAAAAAAAAAAAAAAAAACACAAAACAACCCACCCCCAACCCCACCCCCCCCCCCACAAAAAACAAGGGGGGGGGGGTTTTACCCCCAACAAAAAAAATGTGGGGGGGGGGGCCCCCCCCCAAAGAAACAAAACCATCGGCAAAAACAAACCCCCCCTGCCTGACATAGCAACATTGTATTTTCCATCTCACTTCATTACGTTTTGATTGGTATGGTTTTATTGCTTTGCTACTGTAGCGAGGCGCCGAGCAATACATTTTTCAATTAAAAATTTTTTAATTCTTGTGGATAGCGTAATTAAACCAAAACTATATAATTGTTAAAAATGGGTCAAGTAGTGAAGAAGGTGATGTCGTGGCGCTGCTGGTCGTCAAGCGGCAACAATTTCGAGAGGAATGGCTTAAAATCCAAGACTTTCATAATGCTAAAACCTGACAAAAATCTGCTTATAAATGTTTTGCACTTTGGTTCTTCATTAACTGCCGATCTAGGTGCTATTAAAAGACACGGTGAAGGTGCTAAACATAAACTTCGTTTTCCTGGGCATCGTATGTGCGTACCATTGATAATATTTTTAAGAGTCAGCAACGTAGTGGGGGGGGGGCGGCCAAAAATTGCGGAAATTAAATTATCGGCCTTTTGGCAGAACATAAAATATCCCACATAGTGATGGACCATCTTGTTGATTTACTTCCAAAAATTTTCCCAGATTCAAAATTGCAAGTAACATTAATCTTAAGCATACTAAATTACAAGCAGTAGTAAACAACGTCATCGGAGCTTCTGAAAGAGAATGTTTAGTAGCAGATTTGAAACGCGAAAAGTTTTCTATAATGGTAGATGAAAGTACCGATGTTGCCAGTGTGAAAACAATGTATTGTAGTCAAATATTATGATCTTAGTTCAGGGGCGAATAGTAAGTCGATTCTGGGATCTTATTCAAATGTTTAATGAACTAAGCTGACGATTGGTGATTACTCAGCTACGGCTGAAAAATTATTTAATTCAATAATAAAATCATTTCAAGACGGAAATGTACCTTTAGAAAATATGATCGGATTTGGGATCAGATGGCTGTAATACTATGATGGGCTGTCGTAATTCAGTGTCCTCACGTTTAGAAATTGTGCCCGAGTATTATCGTGCTAAAATGTCTATGCCATTCCTTACATTTATGTGCCTCAGATTGTAAAGAATTGCCTCATGATGCAGAAAAACTGTCATTTTTTTTTACAATTTTTTCAAAAATAGTAACAAACGTCAGGAGCAGAGCTCACAAAGAATTTCAAGTATTTACGGACACTAATATTCACAAAATTCTACGTCCAGCTCAAAGCGTTGGTTGTCGCTGTCCAGTGTTGTGAACAGAATCATGGAGCAATGGGATGCCTTGCGAATATTATGACAAATGGCTGGAGAAGAACAGGATTGCCAAGACATTCACAATCTTTTGAATGATCCCATCATCAAGGCATATTTTTATTTTTTATGTTGGATGCTGCCAAAATTTACCCGCGTTAACGTATTCTTTCAAAGTGAAGATCCCTATTGAAGCCCATAACAAAATGACTGAGCTATACAGAGAACTGTTATCTTATTCATAACTCCAAATTATATTAAAACCCCCACTCGACGCATACCCTACTAATAGTCAACATTACATAAATCTGAAGATATATACCTAGGATTGGGTGTTGCTAATAAGTTGCTGTCCTAGAGCTACATATACCGAAAATTAAGTGAGAAAGAAATCCTCAACTTTATCTAAAGCATTCGGGGGGGGGGAAGGAAAAAAAAAAGTTAAAAAAGACCCGGTTTTGGGCCAAATCGCAAAGTTGAATCCTGATTCTGCTATCAGATAATAGAGAACATCTTTGTCTTCACTGACCAGTGTTACCAAAACATACCCCCCACTTAAAAAGGAACAGGGGGGGGGGGGTGGGGGAGGGAGAAACTTGGTTTTTATTGCGAATTATTGACATTGTCAAATACAAGTCAACCAAAGACTTATTTTGGCATCAGTAACTCAAACATTACATAAATTGGGATATAGTTAGTTACAATAATTTGCCCCTTTTTTTTTTTTTTTTTTTAATCAAAAAAAGAAAGAAAGAAAGGAGGAAAAAAAATCCCTCTGCCGCCCCGTTTTTTGTGGAAGGAATTTTCTTTGCCCCCCCAAACGCTGAGTGCGAACGCACAGTGTAGTGAAATTAATATAAAAAAGCAGTCGAATCCCTAATAATTTAGATGCACACCAACACTGGCCTTTTATTTCTTTCCTTTTAATATTAAAACTAAAAAAAAAAAAAAAAAAAAAAAAAAAAAAAAAAAAAAAAAAAAAAAAAAAAAAATAATAAAAGGGAAGAAAGGAGGGAGGGGGGGGGGGGGGGGGGGGGGGGGGGGGGGGGGGGGGGGGGGGGGGGGGGGGGGGGGGGGGGGGGGGGGGGGGGGGGGGGGGGGGGGGGGGGGGGGGGGGGGGCGGGGGGGGGGGGGGGGGAGGAGAGGGAAAAAAAAAAAAAAAAAAAAAAAAAAAAAAAAAAAAAAAAAAAAAAAAAAAAAAAAAAAAAAAAAAAAAGAAAAAAAAAAAAAAAAAAAAAAAAAAAAAAAAAAAAAAAAAAAAAAAAAAAATATAAAAAAAAAAAAAAAAAAAAAAAAAAAAAAAAAAAAAAAAAAAAAAAAAAAAAAAAAAAAAAAAAAAAATAAAAAAAGGGGGGGGGGGGGGGGGAAAAGGGGGGGGGGGGGGGGTACCTTAAAAAAAGGGAAAAAAAAAAATTTCCTTTTTTTTCTTTCCTTTATTTTATGTATCAACCACAGACACGCTAGTTCCTCTTCGACTTCCATCTTGAAACTGATCGCTAACCGCCAATGTTTGAACAGTCGACATTTTTGCGGTTCAAACCGCACGATCTGACAATCGCGCGGTTCCCGCCGTGTCTGAACGAGCACTACTTTAGAAATTGACAATAATACACAGCTTTTAATGTGAAGAGTTTATTTTTTGGCCCACTCTCAACAACAATATATTTTCTTTAAACTAGTAAATTAACATAAATAATGAGAACAATATAAGAATCACAAATATTTCGTCACTAGGTACCGAACAGGCTCATCGAATTAAAACAATTTTTCACGAAAATAAATACTATTCAACTTGAAGTTTACCTTGCTAGGAATATCCAATTTAAGAAGCGAATTAATACGATGAAACACTGAGGGCACCTATCTCTGATTAAGTCGAATGAGATGTAAATTTTTATCAGAGCATGATTTAACTGTAACCTATAGAAAAATATCTTTGATATGCTAATTCCGTCAGTGCCTGGATCACAAATGAGTATAAATAACACAATTTATTTTGTATCTTACTTTGTACCTCATTTAATGTATCACCACATCTAGACCCTACACATTTAAGTTAATCAGACCTGTCGGAAGACGAAATATCGAAGTTATATCCCAATAGCTCACCAGGCTTACTTTCACACACTGAAATGTATCACAGATAAAGATTGTAATTTTGACAATGTTTTAAATACTTCAAAAAACAAGATTTTTACATTTAACTACTTATAGATTTGAAAATTTTTGTCTTCTATGTAGTTAACAATGAATCGACAAAATATTGAAATAATCCCAACAATACTGACAAGGCAGTCTCTATTTTGGTATAAATAAATGACATTCAATAGAGTTGAAGATATGCTGACCAAATAGCACAACTCTTCACGAGAAATCCACAAATTTTTAGAACCCCAGAGAGCATTTTCACAATATGAACACAAATGCTCCCATTATCCCTCAGACAGAGCAATGAGCAATTTGCAAGCCGTTACAAATTGTAACCATTCCTCTGCCTTGTTACAGTCACAGATTTTAATTCTTTATAAGCTGAATTTGAAGCTTAGAGGCCCAATGATAACCTTGAAATTCAAGTTGCAAAGGGCCATTTTTATTTTAATCTGTGACTTTACCGCTTCAATAATTAATGACATAAAGGAAGCACACAAGTGAAACCAGGTTATATCCATAAACGAAGTTAAATTTTCACAACATCTCAATTTGTTAGAGTTACATTTACTCCTCTCTCTCTCCAACTCTAGATGTTTAACCTGGCTTAGTAATAACAACGGCTTGACATACAATGCATTGTTTCAAGCGGAGGGAAACAATGCTTTAAACACTGACAGCAATAATGTTTTAATTTTTTTAACTTTGCATATTTGAGCTAGACTTATAACCTACCCATAAAACAGAAATTTTGAAGTGATATTAATTTGAATGTTATTACAACATGAAATAAAACTGGTGCTAGCTCAAATCATAACAATATGGATAGGACTTAATTTTAAAGCTGAAAGTCTACCACAATTTATTTTAAATCCACATACAAATCTAGATAGACTCACACAATAGGTGTTCTGATAAATATTTTTACTTTTTAACAATCATAGGAAACCACGCACAGAATCCAATATGGACAAAGAGCGTCCGGGGTACCTTTCACGAGACCCGATGTTTGTTTATATACACTTTAAAAAAGTAACCTTCTCAAAGGTCAGTGTCTTATATCACGATAAACTATATACACTCACATTTTGTTATAATAAATTCATTACACTTTTTACAAAATTGTTTTTGTAGTCATCGAAAGTAGGCGGCGTTACTTGTCCGCGCCGTCATCTTCTTCGGAGACGCGCGCCACATACAGGGCGGGGTCGATTACCTTCGGGATCGGCTTTATCTCCGTGCCGAGTTCCTGCTCGATACGGTGGAGAGCAAACCGATCCTCGTACGTGATGAGATTGATGGCGATACCGAGATGACCGAAGCGGCCCGACCGCCCGATGCGGTGCAGATACGTCTCGGCCATGCGCGGGAAGTCGAAGTTGATGACGACGTTCACGGCTTGCACGTCGATACCGCGCGTGAACAGATCTGAGCATACGAGATTGCGGCACAAACCCGCGCGGAAGTCGTGGAACACGCGGTTCCTGTGCGCTTGCGCCATCCGCGCATGGATGTAGTAGCAGCAGTAGCCCAACTCTGTTATCTTCTTGGCGAGCAACTCCACGCGCTGAGTCGAATTGCAAAATATTATTGATTGGTTAATTTGTAACTGTAACAAAGAAGATAACATTACTTTTAAATCATAAATTCTCACACATAATATTCAAGGATAAAATCAATTCACAGACTTGTACCTTTGAAAAGAGTGTATTTAAACAGTGCACTTTTTGTCTTTCTTGTACAAATGCATAATATTGTGTGACTCCTTTCAGTGTTAGTTCCTCCATCAGGTTAATCTCATATGGTTCCCGGAGATGTTTTTCCATGAACTGCTTTACACTTAATGGGAAAGTGGCTGAGAATAGCAAGATTTGGCGTTCTTTTGGTAATCTGAAATTTTATTTATATAACTATACACTGTGGGGTTTGATATACAGATAGAATAAGCCATTAATTAAGCAAAAACTAATGAACATGCTGCTATTCAAAAACCATATTCACTGAACTTTGTTTAGTAATTTTAATATAAACACAATAGTATTAGTCATATTATGCTTGTAATATCAATATTTAACAACAAAAAAACCTACATACCTTGAGATAACCAAGTCTAGCATGCCTTTGAAGTCTTGAGAGAGAAGTTTGTCAGCTTCATCAAGTACCAACATTCTACACTGGTCCATTTTAGCTACTTGCTTGTCCATGAGATCAATAATACGACCAGGTGTGGCAATTATCACTTGAACTGAAGTAAAGATTTTTATTTAGCAAAATTTAAATATTAAAAAAATTAAATTACTACTAATTTGTAATACAAAAACCACACTAACTCAGTAAAATGCTACTTTACTGAATGTGATAAACATCCCTAAGGATAATTCAATGCTTTTTTGTAATATTATCATATGTTTATAGTTAATGAAAGAAGGGTGGATATAAAGCATTATGAAAATAAACAAACCATTTTGGTATATACGCATGATGTCATCTCTGAGGTTTGTGCCTCCCGTTGTAACCATCACACGTATATCAGTGTGTTTTGCCAACTCAATGCAGATTTGTGAAGTTTGTAATGCTAGTTCTCTTGTTGGGACCACAATTAAAGCTTGGATACAATCTTTTTTAGGATCCACCTTAAAAAAAATTAAAGGTCAGTACTGCTTAACAAAAAACACAAGTATAACATGATAAAGTATTATCAGCATTGGTGTTATCACTTATAGAAAGTGAAGGGGAATCCAAACAATATCATCATAAGATAATTTTTCTCAAATACCTACATACAGACATAACACACACACACACGCAATATCTACCTGTTCTATTACTGGAATACAATATGCACCCGTTTTTCCAGTCCCATTCTTGGCCCTAGCAAGTACATCTTTACCACTGAGAGCAATGGGTATTGAAGCCTCTTGAATAGGTGATGGCTTTTCCCATCCTTTTTCAAAAATACCCATCAGGATTTCTCTCTTGAGGCAAAATTCTTCAAACTCATTTCCTCTTGTGTCTGTTACATCCTAAAATTTAAACACTAATAAGTAAAAGAACTAAAACAACACAATTCTTTGGAATGCATAAATCATTAACAGAAATAGTTAAGTTTTTTGTTACACATTAAATTTTATAATAAAATTGTTCTTAATTAAGAATGAAGATAATAAATACTCATTGCATAAAAAGATAAAAATCGTATTTACAATAATTGTTTGATAAATCTGGCCTTATTAAATGAAAAAATTATTAAACCTACTCTAAAAGTCATATTTTCATCTCAAATTATAATTATATTTATACTAATATAATGTTGGTTAGTGTAAATTGCAACAATTAATTAACAATGTCCAGTTTGTCCACGCAATATTGTAAACTTTTTCCCTTTCTGACTATGCATGCATATAAATAAATAAACAGTAGGTACTAAAATTAACAATGTTATCCTATCAACCTCTGCAAATGTTAAAATTAATTTAGTTAAGATATAAGTATAAATTACTATAAGTAAATGCCATTACTCACACTGGTTTTTATTCTTCCGTCTTTAGGTGGCAGTTTTAATTTTGATTTCCATCCCATGTCATCAACAGTTTTATCAACATCTCTATAATTAAATAAAAGTCGTTAGAGTGAAAAATGAGAATGAAGAACAATGCAGGTAGTTACACTACCAAGAAAACTTACCCTTTCTGATTATTTATACTGTTTCCGACGTGATTAATTGCACTAATTCTGTTTTCGGTCATCATTAATACACTTTTCTTAGTAGGATGACTAAAATTAGAAACTTATCTCAAATCTAGTTCAGTCCACAACAAAACAAATTTCACGATAAGCCACTTTTTCGACACATATATTTAGGAAGTAAATCACGTAAGCGAGTGGATTCTCTGGATATCTGCAACAGTAAAAAACAAAGATAATAAGATATTCGCAGCACATAAATAGCAAAAAAGAAAAAATAGACGCGTCAACAACAGTAAGATCTTCCAGTACTTATACAATTTATTTATCGACGCAGTTTCTCCGTTACAATTGTTTGTAATAACATAGATGGAAGGGAAACAAATAAATGAGAAACATTTAACTAAACTATGATTATTACCGAATATAAACAATTGATTATTAAGATACAGAAAGATTAAATTGACCTTTGAGAGAACGATTTTAAAATTTTAATATGGCCGCCTCAAAAACAAACTACCATGGAAAGTGTTAGTAAAATCCCTAATTATAATAATTTAAAAGTGAGAAAATCACGAAGAAGTAGAAAAAACTTAAATGAGTGCATATGACTTAATTTACATTTAATATTACCTTGATAAAACTTTATAAAAGACGACGACACTTGATTCTCGACGACGACATCACAAAGTAACCAATTGAAACGACAGACCGGTGTGTTGCAATATATAAAACCGTAATTTGCGCTTTACCTATTTTCATTTGGTGTGACCTACGATTTACCAACGTTGTTATTTACACTGGCAACCAATCAAAACATGTCAAAATATTTTTCTCGCAGAAATTAAATGAAACTTAACTTAAAGTTATTTAAATTAATTAATTTAAAAACTAAAATACTATTTTTTATAATATTTTATGGTATAAAATAGCTTTTTGCATTTTCCTCTCTAAACATAAACTGGATACCTATTATCTTTTATTTCATGATGTAATTCATTATATACCATAACCCAGAAATAAAGTTATATTATATTAGAAATTAATAAAAAAAAGTATAACCAATCATCCTTACGGCACAAGAAATAGTTATTTGTGAGTGTTGTTTTTAAAGACTGAACACTACAAATTATGGAAGCCCTTTGTAATTAACGATTTTTTACGCACCACCACACTGTAACACCAGATTTATAAATAGGCTTATCCACACTTTGAGCTAATATTTAATTTCAAATACAAAAAAATAGCACTATTTAGTATTTTTAGAAATCCATAGAGGCCATTTAGCACCCATTCGTGAAATTTTGAACGCGAGTTGGTATAATAATATTAGTATTAATACCCAACCCATTCATCACAGAGTAGTTAAAAATATGTTTGACAATTTAAATTTTAACATAGTATGGTCTGTGGTCTTTTTCACCAACTTTTAGTGTAGAAAAACATTGCTCTATAATTATTAAATTTAAATAAATCACTATTAACAATTGTGTTTATTGTGTGACAATCCAATAATTCATATTTAATATTAGTAATTTAATAATTCATATTTATTATTATTAATTTTATTATTTTTTAGATAGCAAGAAACATGTAAGGTTGATTTACTTATTATTTTGTTAGTTTCTGATAATTAACTTGTCTTACAAATTATAATCGCTTAATGCATTATTTTACTTTCTTATATTTTTGTAGTTGTTAGGAACTCTATGTACATACAGTAATCTAATGCAGTGTGCAACATAATGTATATATATATATACTATTCTATATATATACTGTACTACCTACTTGTTTTAATCATATTCTATATCGTTTGTTTAATTAGGCTTGTTATTAATGTTATTTTCAGGACAGAATATTGGCAATCTCAGGCTCGAAAATATTGCGAGTTTTGTAAATGTTGGTTTGCAGATAATAAAGTTGTATGTCTTTATAATCAGATGAATACATAACTTGTATACTATTTTGCATTTTACTTAAATGAAGTCCTTTTTTTCAGTCTATATCTTTTCATGAAAATGGCAAAAAACATAAAGAAAGTGTCAAAAAGCATATATCCCAGCTTAGTAAACGAAGTGCAAAGGAATTTAAAGCTAAAGAAAAGCTTGATAATGAGTTACAAAAAATGGAAAAGGCTGCAATGAGTGCCTATTTGAAAGATGTCCAAAATAATGCAGATTTAACTTCAAAGGTAATATTGTACACTGTAGACGCCAGAGTATATTAAACAATTTTTTCAAGAATAGACTAATTTTGACATTAAGATGTTGATTATCTGCTCAACCATTTTTTTATTAGATTTAAATATTGACTATTTATGTAAGTTAAGTGATCTATAAAAAAAATGATAATAATTTTTAAATGTGTACCTAATGTAATTTTTTGTCAGAATATCAATGAAATGCTAGAGCAAGATGGTTGCAACAGTGATATTATTGCACCAAGTGTAATTACCAACAAAGAACCACTCTGGCAAGAAGTAAAGAATGATGATGCCAAGACATATTTCTGGAATATAGAAACAAATGGTAGGCTTGTTCTTAGTTATTTGAATAATTTGATATGAATTATTATATTATAAAGCTTTTATAAAGATGTAAGGTTTGATTTTGGTATATATTTATATGTATTTAAAATACACACTGAAACTACTTTACTGATTTTATACACAAAAACATTAGAAACAAAATATCTATAGTAACAAAAGAATTCTATAAACATTTTAATAATTTACCACCAAGTAATTAGTTTATGTAACATCAATAGTGTATAAGAAATAATTTAAAATACAAAGTTATCATTTTTGTTGGTTGTTTGCAGAAACAACATGGGATGTACCAGATAATTATCTCTCTATAGCTCAGCAAGAAGAAAAGAAACTGAGAAAGGACAAAAAACAGAAAAAAATATTGTAAGTACTTATTAGTCATATATTGACAATACTCATATATTAATGATTGAAGCTTCATTTGACCGTTTGATTCTCCATAATTACTTAACACTGTTCCAACATTACTTCACACTGTACCAGGTATCCACAAGCCCTTCTTTTTATGTAACAAACAAAAATTATTCTTTATAGTACAGGCTAGCTTGTTTTGTATTATGTATGGTATCTATGACCATTACTTTCTATTTGTTTAGATTTATCATATTTATTTGAATACCAACAAACTATTCTGTTACCCACCTTTACATTGCTGTGTTTATCTTTTGTCATGTAACCTTTGCAGTGTTTTGAATAGTAGCTCTGATAATAATTATTCAATCTAAAAAAAGGCTAGCAATTCTTCAATGTTCTCAGGTTTTGGTGTTTAATGATACATTCAATCTTTTTCTCAGAAACAGGGTGACTTCAACCAACCTAAAAAACTCCACAATTGTTTTAGCAAATTTAAATTTAATACATACTTCTCAATTTGACTCAACTCAATTTCAATCCATTCTACAGGACATGTTTTACAACCAAATGCCAGTCTATGTACAGAGTGTAAACCTTTGCAAGTACCTTGCTGTATTATCTTTAACCAATACACAATGTATGTATAACATCTCCCTGCAAAAACTATAAAAAATTCACTAGCTGAAGGTTTGGTCAAACAGCGGACGGGGCGGGACAGCGACGCGGCGTGGATGTCACACTGCGGTGATGATCCTGCAAGCTGTTTGACCATACCTTGAGGGCATGTTCTATCGCTATAGATTAGGTCACTATCAGACTCAGTAACCTGACTTACTGTGCTGCAATATTCTCCGTAAATACGAATATTCTCATACCGTTTTACAATTATGACTACAGGAGTAGCCTCAAAAGTGATATCAAGCATAAAACAATTAACAACCAAATTAATTTGGTCCTGAATGAAACCTTACCTATAAATATGTCTGTCTCATCACTTGCACTAATGAATTATTGAAGGCATTTAATCAATTCGGCAAATCTTTAAATGAATGTAATTCTCTTTAAAAATATTGAAAATGGGCTCCAGAAACTACCTCCATCAACACAAGTTACCATTACATCCAAATTACCAATATCACACCATTATTTTCTTTGTTGTATAAATGTTCTCAATATGCCCTTTTTTACAAAAAATTGACACGTCAGAATATCTCCTCCATTACGCTACCCACAACAATAATAAAACCTTAAATTATTAGTAGGTTGAAGGGCGTTGGTGCCTTAGTTTTGACCGATGCACCATCTCTTTTTGATGTAAGGCCTTCAGACACACCTGTATTAATCTTACATCTATTCCAGCTCTTTCAGTAGGAAATATATATAAAAAAATATACATATATATTAAATTGATATTTGTCCATATATGATGTAACGTGAAATGTCTTTAATTTCATTTCATATTTTATCTATTTTCATTTAGCAATCAATTTATTACTACCAAATGTGCATTTGAAATAAATTATCAATTTTTATTGTAGTAACGGTTCACTATTTTGGTTATAATGACTTACACATAAGACATACATAAGACATTTTTTCTACTTACTTGATATTTTGGACAATTCACACAATATCTTTATAAATTGTAGCCTAATATGTGTTATTCTGATGTGTAAACTATATTATTGTAAAGTTTCATTAAAATCCATTCAGTAGTTTCTACGTGAAAGAGTAACAAACTTCCATCCATACTTACAAACTTTCCTGTTTATAATATTAGTAGGATTTACCTTAATATGCTATAACAGAAAGTCCATGCAAATCTCAACATTATATTTATTATGTCACATTTTTTGTTTATTTTTATTCTACCTGTAAAACATTATTAATTAGAAACCCTATTTAATTAAGTATTTTAAAAATATTTTAGGAAAGAAAAGCAAAAAGAAGCTATGATAGAGGTTAAAGCACATTTAGTGAGAGAACGTATGAAAGAATTAGCTGCAAAGCCGGAAAAACCTGCTCCAACAATATTTTCTTATGGGCCTGAACCACGAAGCAGCAAGCCCTATGGAAAATGGGAAACTGTTGTGCAAGAGTAAGTATATTACAAGTAGTAGTAAATTAAAAATTTCTTAGCTATGAAATTTCCATATTTGTCAAGTTTGGCAAAATGTATAAAGGGGGGAAGGTCTATTGGCTATATCTATATTATGTTTAACTAATATTTGAAAAGTTACGAGTACATAATGCATTGCATGATCTAATATAAATTCCCTGTATTATTTTTATTATAAAATTCGCTTATTGGTGGATTTTTTCAGGCCTGTAGAGAAAATTGATTTGCAGTTGCCAAAGAAAGAAGTTCATCTACCACCAGTAGTCGTAGAACCGGAAGTTGTCAAGTTTAAGGAAAAGCGAGTGGACTCACTTGGTGATGGACCTGTAGAATTCAAGAAAAGAAAAATTAATAATGCTAAAAGAAATATACGACAAAAATTGAATGACGAATAAAATAGTTACTCTTTTTTTTTTTTTTAATACTTGACAGCATGACGTCAATTACCCCGATATATAAGTTTTTTAGCGTCCTAATAGTCGCCTTTGACGTGCAATACTTGTTTGAGCCCGTCAAAACAGTCACTGCATTATAAAACAGAATAAGTACGGTTACTGTACATTGTTTTTATTATTTGTAATAATAATTTTATTTCTGGTTTACATGACATACATCGTAACCATAGTAAGAACGACGGTACATGTTTTATGATAAAGGCCGTATTAGTCTTTAAATACTGTATTTGGTTTTCTTCAGGAATGTATTCATTTCACCTTTAGATATCTTGACTATTCCGCACTGGCGCGTTCAAATTGCGAGACCAGATAAGAATGGAAGTTGATAGGTATATGGCAAGCCAGAATAATAGCAATAGTTTCTACTATACGCCGTGAACGACTGATATTTTCACGCATCATTGATATTCACCAAACACACAAGGTACATCGGCATGATCAATGATGTCATAGTAATTACTAGTCCGACTTTAAATTCATATTAATATATTAATTTTAATTAATTTAAGTAGCAGGTAGATAGATTCCATTTCAACAATAGCATCGTAGGGATTAGTTCAGATCAGTTGACAGTTGACTACTTTGCAATCGAAATCATTTATTCTGAATGGCGAATAAACTAACAATTTAGACTTAATAAATAAATCTTTGCAGACCATCGCGATTGGAAATAGATACTTAATTAAAGGACTATTATGAATAGTAAAACCTATCTTTAACGTCTTTCTTTTCCCATTACATATATCTATTTATTTTAAAATCAAACAAATCAGTTAAATTATTCCACGGTAAAATTTATTTAATGAAATAAAGTAAAACGCATTTCATACAAAACCTTAAAAATTTGGTCTAGGAATAATTCATTCATTCTAGTACTTATCAGAAATTTTTTATCGCTACTAAATTACATATTACGCTACCAACGAATAACATCAAATCTTATAAATAACTGTAAGCTTATATCTCCTTAATATAAATAACGTACGAACCAAGGAGCCACTGACACAAAAAGAAACCCCGCACCGCAATTACTTGACCCGTTATTTTCCAACTTGGTACTTTATTAATTTGAAATCCCACAAGCTCCGAGATAGAACCGGGTATTTAATTTTACAAAAGAATTGAATCCACAAATGTGTATGTTCGGTTTAGATTCTGATTCATTTATTAAAAGTGAACATGACTATTGACTATAGCCCCGTAGCCCTTCAATGGAGCAGACTTTTGTGCCTGCTGTTGTGGTAATTTTAAATGCCAAAATGTGTCCTTCAACCTTAAAGAAGTATTGGTTCGTTGGTAATAAAATCGTAGATTTGTGCTTCGATCCATAATTAACAAATTTGTAGATTGCTGTTATAGAATAGGCAATCAGCCAACTTGATCTAAAGTAGGTATAGGTTTCCATCCATATTTTTTGGCTTTGGTTGAATTTCATGAGAATTCTTAACCGGACTGCAGCGACAGGCAATAAAATTAAAATTGTACTTGGAACGTATGAAATTATCTAGTATATATACAAATGTTCGTCTCGGTTTTGGTCGCACTCTTCCGAAATGGCTCGAGCAATTTTTATGATTTTTATAGATTATGCTGTCCGACATTAACAGTCACGCGCTTATTTATGATGATCAACTTTTTACTCCCATGAAACCATGGCGCACAGCTAGTTTAATAGTTATATACTTACAGTTGGAACCAAAAACAAATCTTATTAGGTGAAAATAGAATAATATAAATAAAAATTAATTTGAAATAAAATACAAAGTAATTTGACCTATCATATTAATTTTACCATATTTTTTAGCATAATGGTGATTATTTTCCGCATGTTTTGCGTGCTTTAAAACAAGATTTTTTTTACGAATTGCGTAGGTACATTTAACAAACCTACAAGTTTTTTTCTTTTAAGAGTAAAATGTCTCTAAAAGTGAATTCTCTCCTTTTTTGCATAAAACACTGCTACAACTAGGCTCTAACAATGATAATCACTAAGTACATAATGCTGAATACCTTGTCATTACAATACACATACACGTGACTAGGTATAAGTACATACCTACACAATGGTAACCCCGAAAAAAACATCCTTAATACAAGTAATGATGGGAACATTAAAGTAATAACTTGCTATTCAACGACCCATTATTCATTGTTACCTTTTGATCCAGTTCTTATATGGAAATGAGTTGGTAGTGATGCGACATTTGTCCGGTATCATTGAACATTTATATTGCCTATGATATTCCGATCACGACGAGCTGTCAGTCTCTAGGAGTATATAAGTTATCGAGAAGTGTTTGAAAAGCAATTCAGTCGCAGCAGTCGGCAGCAATCCTGTCTAGTCGATAATCTAGATTGAGCTTTGTTGTCTAAAATCTTTCAACATGTACAAGCAGGTAAGTTTATTATACATTACCTAATCGTTACTGTGTTACTGATGTAATTATAATTATTTTGTGTGTAAGAAAAAAATATTAGGTCTCTAAAAAGAGTTTGCGCATAGTATTTATCTTAATATATATTTTTCATATTCATTTGTAATAGTTTTCTTTTTAATTAAAAATGTAGTTTCCAAATTAAACTAAAAATTAAGCAATAAGACGGAAAAGCTCTTCTAGTATTTCTGTTAAACATTTAACAATAAATTGTACAAATCATCACCAAGTAATTTAATTACATATTATTTATTTATTTTAATTAATAGGAAGTGGTGGAATGCAAATATCTTCGGCATGCTAAACTAAGACATCTTAGTACCTACTAAATAAAAAAATCAGCGCTGACCTTTGAAGGTCAGATTTCTGGGCCTCAGTTTCTGTATATGTTTCTATAATTTATTTATTTCTTACAGGCAAGTCATCAGTCTTTTGTGTTTGACACACGCCGATGACTTCTAAGGGTCTAAGGCATGCCGGTTTCCTCACGATGCTTTCCTTACGAGCAAGTGTTCAATGTGTTCATAGATTGTTCATGGGTTACACTGCTAGGGTTCGAATCTAGGACCTCAGGGATGAGAGTCGCACTCTAAAGCCAACATAGCTCTCCTAGTACCTATTAAATGGTTGTAGAAACTACCTGCTCACTATATTTTTACTTGCAGTACCTCTTCGTTATTGCTCTGATGTTGGTTGCATCAGCGGTTGCCAAGCCCCAAGTATTAGTGGACACATATGGCTACTACGCCGGTGCCGCTCCAGCCTACGTTGCTTCCTACAGTACCCCACTGGCATATTCCTATCCCTATGCATATACTTATTCGTATCCTCTCGCATATTATTAAAAACGATTAGGTATATTGAGTAGGAAAAGTACTCGTAATACTGGTTACCTTTAAACTGTCAATATGATACAAACATAAACTTATGACTTATTGGTTAGATGTGAATGTAAAGTAATTTAAATGAACTGGATTTTAAAATATACTGTTTAAGTTTATCCCTGAGAGTTTTGGTATTATTTCATAAAAAACTTTTATTTCCCCTTATACCACATATAACCCTATGCTCGCATTAGTCGTATATGTAACAGTATCTTTTTATACTTAGGTAATCATCGTTTGTAACTTATAGTTGTCTTGTCTTAAATGTATGTAAAAAGTAAAATCATTATTACCTAGAAACCTAGATACGAAAAGCTTGCTTAGGAGTTACTCAACTTACAAGCATGCAGAGTAATTAACTGAAAGTAGGTAGCTACGCAAATAACGAACAATTAATAATCAATGATCTTTATGAATGATTTTATTTTAATAAAAAAGATTACGAAACCTAGTATATCCATAATCCAAGGTTATGGTGACCACGATTCCTCTATCATTAGTATGCGCATGATGCGGGGCTAGATTGCATTTATAACTTATGGTGCCTAATAAATCAGCCTTCGTAATAACAAATATGTAGAGCCTAGTACTGAGATTACTTAATATTTAGGTCAGTAATAAGCAGTTATTAAAAAATACTAATGTTAGCATGTGTATGTAGAAACCTAAATATTGAATCTTAACCAAGTAGGTTGATTTTAAGTTATAATGGGGTTTGATAAAAAATCAATTAATACAAAGAAGAATGAGTAAGCGACTTTATTCTTTAATTGCTAGTTATATATACTATGGTACACAACGTAGGTACATGAATATTCTATTATTGCAACTTTACAAAAAGCTACTAAAAGTTAAAGATTTTAGCTAGACAATACTGTGAAGTTAAACAAGTAGGTTTACTATTTGTTCTGAGCTCTGGCTGGCGTGTATACGTAATTTAATATTTATAGTGTAGAACCTCAATTTTCAGGAGAAATTCAGATACATTTCAAGTATTATCCATAGATCAACAGTCTAGATCAGTTATTGGCTCTTCATAATCTATAAAATATACCTACTATTTAACTCCATTGCACTATTGCTTATTATGTATGAGTAATAATATGAGTCAACCTTATACCTGATTTATATGATTACTAGAATTCTGAACAATATTATATTAAAATATTTATTAGATATCTAGTAATATAACTGAGTTCCTAATCTGTTATATTTAATGACCAAACATTGCGAATCTACAAAACTCCCCTCGTGTTGATTGATGCGATCAAACATATTATTATTGTTAATAAATAATAACATTTATGTAACGCCAGAAGGTAATAAATTTGTATGCCTACGCCATGAGTTAAATTTAGATACATAGTAGAAATGTAGAACTGTCACAATGAACTCTAATGAAAATTTTATTGAAATGTTTTGAGACCATAGAAATAGTGCATACAGATTTCTGGGTTACGACTAAAATACAGAAATGGTATAATTTAGTACCTATACTTACATGTCCTTACATAAATAAAATTAATTATTTTTACTGCTTAATGATGTATATATCTACTTCTTACCTACGTTTAGTAAATAAAAGTTACAAATTCTCTACAGCAACTTAAATTACAAAAAATATGCACAATATTCGACGAACCGCAACTTTCGGAACACAAGTTTTGGAAATCACTAAGCACTACACTTTTTATTCATGTCCACTGCATCTTTTAAAATTCCTTATCCATGTATAGGGTAAAGGCAAAAACTGTCCATTCCCTAGGGATTAATAATTTCCTCAAAACGCTAATACCCACGAATCAGAAAAACACTTGTTTTTAGCGACCTAACCTCAAACCAAAATAAATAGATTTTTAATATACAGTTGGTGCATGTGCGTTAAAAGTTTGTTCCCATTTTAAAATTAATTAATGATATAATACCTAATGGTATCAATGTGAAAATAAGAGCTATTGTTTGTTAGACTTGCTTTCGTCTTAAGGTAGTTTAATTTTGTTGAATTATAAAAATATGCCATGACCTTGAAAATTCTATTTGTTTCGTTCTGAGTTTCACGGCGTAAAATGCAAGGATTGTATCTGACACATATGGGGTAGATTGTGCTGTATTTTTATCACTTCACTTTAGGCAACCTCCAGGTCAGAGTCCTCAGATTCATCGGTATAAGACCTAGGCGTAGGTGGCGCGGGCGGCGGCCGTAGCGGCGACGAGATGTGTGCCCTTTGCTGAGCCAATGCACGGCCGCACTCCCGCTCTTCTTGTAACTTACGAAGTCTTTCCTGTTCTTCTCGCTTTTGTTTTCGCCATTTAGCACGACGGTTTTTAAACCATACCTGAAACAATTATATTAGTTGTAGAAATAAAATTATATAAGTTTACTTTAGAAAATTATCCTATGCTCTCGTGTCTATGCAAAACAAATTAACTTAGTTAAGTGTGATTTATATTAAAAATATTACTAGGTACCTCTACTTGTAAACCCTGAAGATTACGATAATTTTACATGAAAAAATAGAAACAGCAGAAATTATAAATATTAATTAGTAGTAAATATTTTATTATCATTGTTTTTAAAGAGTATACCTATTTCTCTAAAGTACAATTTCTTAATTTAAAATGTCTTGTTAGACCGGTTTCTATCAGCTATCTATAGATTAAACATAATTCTATTGGGCTTTCATTACTCAGGTGTTCCAACATAAATTTGTTCGAGTGTAAAATTGTATATGCATATTTCAAAAGATATCGCCTAATATCTGTATCGAGAATACTCAATACTATTTTATTGTGCACAACAGTCAATCAATACATTTTATTTATCGTTATGCGCAGACAATGAATGGACCGAATTTTGTAAGTATTTGACAAGCTACTGAACTGGTAATATGTATCGTGAATAGACTCTCTTTTGTTGTATTTATCAATGAGGTTTCCTGGGATGCGTGTTGCTACTTCCACTCGACTTAGCGTGTACAAGTGTAGAAAACTGCGTGTGGTCCGCGTTTACATTTCAATCTGCCATCACAACATTATATGGATGGGATATTTTTATCAATAAAAAAAGATATAAATACGTTTCCATTACCCCGAGTTAACATGTAAAATTATTAAATGTCTATTAGGAAATAAGTCATAAATTTAAACATACTTCTTACTACTCTAGTTTAAAATAATATCACACAACTAAAAAATGTAGTAGTTTAAAATCAGTGTGCATAGTAATGATTTAAATTAGTTAATGCAAAAATATAGGACTTCCAGTTTCTTTAATTTCCATAAAGCTTTCAGCTCAAATATAGAAAAGTTTTATTCTCAATTGTCAAACAACTATATTACTTTATTCATCTTTATACAATGGAGATTATAGTCTTCTGCGAGGCGTCGAAAACGCACAATTCATCAACGATGCCTCCATTGTTCAAGTTAATTGCATTACAAGTGTCAGCCGGTAGCTCTACAAAAGCCCTATTAACTTTCGGTAACGAGTGACGGGCTTTTCGCACATCGAATGCCGCATTGTTGGCCATTCGAGCGGCAAATATGGCCGCTGCCACCGGCAGACCTAAGGGCGTCTACGATCATATCTCCATTTCCACTCTGCATTGTCCTCTCCCGCAATAAGATTAGTTTTACGCCTTTGTTTGCTTGCTTTTGTGTACATAACTCTTTTATTGTGCGATTTTATCTTCCAATTGCATTCAATTACGTGAGCCCATTCACGGTAACTATTTTTGCACATTGTGCTTATTCTTCGATATTTCTGCAACTTGTTTTGTATAGTTATAGTTTTTTAGGTAATAAAAAATTAGATCCAACTATTCCTCAATGTTAAAATCAATATCGCACAGAAATGCTTTAATATGAACGCAAAATTACCAAATTCTATTGTAGTCGGTGCACTGCAAAGCCAGCATGTTACATAATTTCAAAGCTCCCGGGATACGGTATACGAAAGTCAAACAAGCTTTATTGTAAAAGTTCAATAGTGGATTATTAGTTTAGCTACGTTAGCCGTTATCAACTTTGGGATATCATAAATTAATATCGACGATACCTTAACTACTTGACATAATTTAGTTCTATTAAGTAGGTAAGTTACTAAGTAGTGAACTCCGAGGAATTCCAATATGTACCTATTATGATTTTGTATAAATAATATACTTGAAGTTTTAAAATGTTAGCAAATCGTCAGAATAAAATTACAAGCAGATATATTTGAGAAACAAAGCTAATCTCTAATTGTAAAATATTGTATTTGTTATTTCCAAATTCAATTAAATTAGAAAAAGTCTAGTCAGGTTTAGGCACCCTCTCCCTAATGTTACAGCAATTATAATGGACTAATAGCGTGAAGAGTGTGTTTTGGGAAGACGAGCAGATGACATGGGCGGAGCGCCTGTGGCTATACGAGCCACGCCTCGACGCCTGCACCACGTCAATATCAAGACTCGGGAAATTAATTTATCGAAAGATTAGTGACATAATATGTAATTCAGTGCCCGTGTGCTACTGAAACGGGTAAAGAAATCATGTCTCTAATAATAAGTCATATTTTCTATAAGTCGTAAATTAAGGAAAAAATTGTAGTAATTTTTAGCTATAAGAACTTTTTGAGCAGAAAAAAATCATCGATTTGTTACGGTTACAGAAGGCTTATTACCAAATTGCCTGATAGAAAAAGCAAATTATCACGTACCTAACATACAAAAATCTGAGGGCAACGGTTCTTTAACCGTTGGCCTTGTTAGCTCTGTTGTTTTTGATTCGTTTTCAAGTAAGTAATTTCAGATATTAAAAAAATAAACTGTATCTATATCACGAGTGTCCTTATTTAAAGTAAGTATACTTATTGGTAGAGTAAGAGCGTGTGAATTGCACAGGATGTGCACAGAGTGGCGGCGGCGAACCGAGCCCAAACTTATTGTAATAATGTTGTTAGAACAAACAGCTCCCCCTTCGCCTTGTTTGAGATTACAATTACGGTTTTAGCGAACTGATTTATTAATGGACCGCCTGATCCGCCTTTGATACTTTAATGTCGATTTAATTTACATTTACTATTCGCAGCCAAGATACTTGTTTAGTTAATTAGCGCTACTAAAGTTGTGACACAAAATACAACTTATGCCGTAATTTCGATGTACAAAATACAATTTGATTTATTTAAAATATACGTGTATGTTGGCTGCCTTCATTCATAATTGCCCTTAGTAAAATACCCTATTGTAATAATTTAAAATAAAATGCTTAGAATTGGATAAGAAACCATCCTTTACGTTTATAAAACTGTCCTACTGTTAAATTAATATAGAATATTGATACTATAATTAAAGTTTAACAATGCTCTTAACTAAATCTACACTATATAGGTCACTTATGTCATGTTACTACAATATATAGTAACCAATAATTATTAAGAGTATATATTAAAATATATAATTTAAAATAGGTATTCAGAGCTATCTCTGTATCAAAAACGTAACGTCTTAAATCGACATTACGAGAATTGCAAATTAGCTCACATTTTTATAAGCCGTGTCAAAGCTCTCACACCTGTCGTATTGCTACTCCCCATTAGCAGTGAAATGCATTAGTCAATATTAAAGATGCCGTCCGCGAGTATAATTCCACAAAGGGCACTTCAAATCACACCCATCTCTTTTCGCTAATGTCAAAACATCATTCCTCTCCACAGCCGGAGGCAGAAAAAGAATCCCCTAGTGTCTGTCACTTCGTATCAATTACCACACGCAAACACCCATGACCGCCCCAGTGTATTGCCATAAAGTCCTATCTACGCACAATGCGGCAGCCGAATCGAAATTCAATTGTCAAAAGATTGCTTTTATAGAGCCCCGAACACGGCTTAAATCGAAAAAGTATTTTATCAAGAAAGTTCTTTTGCAAAATATGACTTAATATATTGGCGGCAAGAGTGAAATTCGATAAGCTGTGAATTCGCGTAAGGCTCCCGGGGGTCGCTTTCCAAACATCGCTCTCCCCTAAACGTTATACTTTGAAAACAATAATTTATATTGCGTAGCGAACGCGTCCATAAATAATAAAGTGATACTTTAGCCAGCGGCTTCACCACGTTTCCAATATAGTCGTATTTTGAATTTGCGAGCTAAGAGGATTGTTAATTTATTAATTACTCTTTTATATTATAAGGACCTGAATAACGTTACACATGTATACGATAATTAATACGTATCTAATATCTGTGACGGAAATGAGTAAATAAATTACAGCTAGAAGTAAAGAGTAGAGTTTGTGTATCATGGTAAATTTGATCAAATCATTGCAAATTGATAAAACAATGTATAATGGACGTATCTTACATATACATAAGAAAGATAATAAATACTGCTATTACGCTGTAATATATTTGTGTGATTTAGAATGAAACAATGCTTAAAAATAATTGAAATATTTGTCATAGGTCGTTTGACGTAACAATGTGGAGTAACAAGCGGAAAACGAAGCAGGGTAGAACTCTTTGATCACTTCATCCCGGATCGCTGCTCAGTTATAAAAGCGTTATTGCTTTATTGCGGAAGTGAAAGACAAAATGGCGCCTCTTTATTACTTAGTAACACATTGCGAGTATCACTTTTATAGGTAGCTATTACGAGATAAGTCCTGGGGGCCCGGGGGAGGCTGTGCAGCGTGATGAGGAAGCTCCCGACGCTGGGCGGAGCGACACGCCTACTTTTTCATGTCTACTGGATATCTAGTTTGTCATTCCGTTGCATTTCGATCGCAATACGGTGTAAGTAGCTAATATGTTATCGCTTAACTTGGTAAAATAGTTTTTTATTACTATTAAGAAGTTTCTTCACTAGCTAACGCACATGATTTTTAGTTGTCAAAATTAGGTGGTTGTTAATTTAGGTGGAAAAACCAGTGGCGCTACAACCTTTTAAGGTCTGGGCCTCAGATTTTTCGTAATCATTTGTTTTTTTCTAATATGCAAGTAGGTGATCAGCCTTCTGTGCCTGACACTTTTGGGGTCATAGGCATGCCGGTTTCCTCAGGTTGTTTTCTTTAACCATACGAGCGAGTGTTAAATACACACATATATGGAAAGTCCATTGAAGATCGAATTTACGAGCAAAGGTATGAGAGTCGCAATTAGAAGCGGAAGCGCGACTTGTATGTTGCGCTTTCATTATTTTTAAAATTGTAAATGTAAATTTTTTTCAAAAACAATTTCATATAAGTTTACGAAAATGTAGTTTTCTCTGTAATTAATTAGATTATAATTTAGCTTCTACAAGCGCACCACCGCTTTGTTATGATTTAATTAAGAGTGTCAAATGAAAACACTGAA